CCACCAACGACGTTTGAGACGTCAGCTAATATTGCAACACTTCCCAGACCACCAAGGGCCCGAAAAGGCGGATCATTGCCGTTCCGCACTAAGCAGTAAGCAATAGGTTCAACACATCTAGTCGAGGAGCCCGTCATCTGACCCGACTTTTGACAGCCAGACGGTTTAACCAACCGGCAGTCAAGAATGTCTCGCGATTCCCCAGGAAAACGCGTCTCCAAAAACTGTTCCTTGGAGGGGGATCAGCCGCCCGCACATGCATGCCCTTTAGTCCCCCTCCATACCCCAAAAAAGAAGGCACATGAACGAGGAGCGATCGACGACTAACTGGCCTCTCACCGTCCGTCTCGGAGGCTCCCGCAGCTGTTCGGTAGCGTCGCCGGGAGTTGGGGCGCAACCTCCAGGATTACTCTGTCGAGTGAAGTTGAAGTCTCTTCATCCATCCCGGGGGGCGGGTGATCGTTCCTACACCCCACAAGGGTTTCGAGAAAAGAAGCCCGGGCCGAGACATCATTACCCCAGATTCTGTGGTTCTGACCGCAGGATCGTGCAGATATTGGTAAGTTACTCGGGTTTGAGTGCCGTGAGTGCTTTACGGATGGATGAATATCTGGACAACTACCGATACCTCTTTGGAACGAGCAATACTTGGTTGCATGCGCCCTTGACCCTCCTCTCACTTACACGAGAGTGGCGTGAAAAAGAACTGCGCTGCTTTCTTACACTCCACCACTTCTCGAAAACTAAGGCACAACACCTCACCCAAGACCACGAGGAGGAGCCTTATGGGGAGCCCACCGTCTGCCGACCAAAGCGTGGAGCCCGTCTCGTCACCAAATAAAAACCGGGCAAGACAACACGTCCATTGCTAGTGGGGTCAAGAGGCGAACTAGTCCCGCATATCCATGTCGACGATTCCGTCATATCCAGCCCGTGCCAGCAAAGGGAGGGAGAGTCCAACACATCACACTTGCGCGTCGCGTATCCGTACTGGGCTGTTTATAATCAGTTCGAGCCACCCGATAGTCACCTGTAGATCCTGTTGGAGGGCAGGGGGCCCCAAAAGAAAACTTGCACATGGCCACCCTGGCCAAAGAGGTATTAGTCGCGCTTGTCGACGTTCCAAGGTACGGGCCCATCAAGCTTGGAACCGGAGGGGACGCCGTCTTGGATAATAAAAAGGCTTGAGCCGTCATCCATTTTTTGGGAAAATAGCTTGAAAGCCCTTGGCCCACCAGAGAAGAGACATAGAACAGAAAACACAGCAATATATCAACGCGTAACAGAAGAAGCCATGACGAGATCAACCCTCGACATCGTTCTCAAGAACAACACGGGCTCCTCCAACGCCTACGCCTACGTAACCGGCCTCGACCTCAACCGCAACAACGCCGTCTTCCTCCTCCAGGCCGACGGCGTCACCGGCTACTACCCGAGCTCGCCCTCGAACATCCTCCAGGACGTCGGCGCTGATACCGCGATCCCGCTCGGCGCACCGGGATCGACAAAGAAGCTGACCATCCCTCAGATTGCCGGCGGCCGTATATGGTTCTCTCGGGACGGCCCGCTTAAGTTCTTCCTGAACCCGGGCCCGGCCGTGGTGGAGCCCTCGGCGACCAACCCGGCGGACCCTAATTACAATCTCAACTGGGGCTTCTGCGAGTTCACCTTCAACAGCTTTCAGGTCTACGTCAATATCTCGTACGTCGACTTTGTCAGCATCCCCGTGTCCCTGACGCTCGAGAACGATGCCGGTACCGTCACCAACGTGCCAGGGTTCCCGAGCAATGCCCTCGACACCATCTGCGACAAGCTCAAGGCGCAAGATGCCGCCGACGGCGCGGGCTGGAGTAACCTCGTCGTGCGTACGGCCGATGGATCTGCCAACCTGCGCGCCCTGAGCCCCAACTCGGGTATCGTCATGAACCAAAACCTCTTCAACGGGTACTACCAGCCCTACGTGGATGCCGTGTGGGACAAGTACCGCTCCGCCGACCTCACCGTCAACACGCAGGCCGAATGGGGCGACGTCAAGGGCCGCGTGGGCTCCGATAACCTCCTGACGTTCGGCTCCGTCGGCTCCTTTGCCCAGCCCGCTGCCCGCGACATCTTCAGCTGTAGCACGGGGCCGTTTGGCGGGTACCCCAATAACCAGGCCGAGATGGGGGCCATCGGGGCCCGCATCGCGGCGGCGTTTAATCGGTCGACACTGCTCATCAACGATCGGCAGCCTGAGGGGGAGAGCGTGGCCAACTATTACAAGGACGTCCGGACGAACCACTACTCGCGCATCTGCCACGAGGTCAGTCCCGACGGCCGCGGCTACGCGTTTCCCTACGACGACGTCAGCTCGTCAAACGGCACCGACCAGTCCGGCTCGCTTTTCGACTCCAACCCGAAGCTTCTCACCGTTGGAATCGGCGGCAGCGATGGTACAACTGCTGCGGCGGCTGGGGCCCCGACCGAGGTTGCAACAAAAGAGGCTGTAATTGCGCCTGCAACAACGTCCCAAAAGCAACCGCAAAAGGAAGAAGCGCAGTCGCAAAAGGAACTGTAAGTGGTTGGCATCCGCATCTCGATGCGAGACCCCCCCGAGCATTTGGAATTTTGTCTAATATTCCCCCTCATAGCCGCCGGAGCAATACCAAGAGCAAGAGGCAGAGACTGTGGGCCCGTGTGAAAGCCTTGGTGTAATAGGTCGGTCAATCGATTTTGGATTGCATTTTGGCGTGGATATTCGTAGATACCAGACAGTTGTGCGCATATGCAACCATCACATGTCACATATCATCATTCCTTTTCAATCAAATAACGAGCTTGAAGTCCCAATTAGAACTGGTTGTTGTGTTGTTTGTATCGCCGGCGGCAATGCTCCGTATGTCTCTGGCCATGGCAGACGTTCAGGCTCCAACCAAGGCTCGAGGGAGGAACACCAATCCTGGCGGCGTCATCGCTGTTGAAACTTGAATGAATAGTCTGTCTGTGTCTTAGACAACATCAAGGGCCCGTTGCTTTTTTCTGCAGTGGTAGACCAATGCAGCGGGAGGAAACGCAGCTTTTCGTCGACTCGGACCCGGTCACTGGTGACGAGGCCTCCAAGAATGCCCAATCAACTGTTCAATTTGCATCCGTATGTCTCTTCTGCAGTGATACCTCTGACAGCAGAAATGGTTCGAGGAGTTGGACAGGGCATGATTTCGATTCAGCCCTTTTCCTCTGGAGCTGCGACAGGGAAGCGAACCCGACAGATTGCCAGATCACAGCGTGCCGCCCCAGAAAGCGACCAGTCACCTTTCGGCGGTCACCGCAGAAATGCAGAGTACCGGAGGGAATTTGAAGGAAGCGAGGCGTGGGCCTTGGTATGCAGGTTTAGGCCGCTGCTTCTCGGTCTCTCTGTTTCTCGTGGAGCCCACCGGGATTGAACGAAGAACGGGATTGGGAGAGACCGTTAGAAATCAGCATGCAGCCGGCGGCAGTAGGCTGTATTCGTACTAATTTCGTAGAAAAAGGGCTGGGCATTTGGCTGGGAAAACGGAGCTAAAACAATATCAACCCTGGCCTCAGCTCCGCTGGAAGCCCTACTCGATGCATGCCGCACGCGAGCTGCAGCCATTCCCGTCGGTGACATGGGCGACATACGGATACTCGTACGAAGATTCGTACGTATGCTCTCTCCCTCTCTCTCTCTCTCTCTCTCTCTCTCTCTCTCTCTCTCTCTCTAAAGGTATTCCACGAGTTCAAGTCTCGACCGGCGATGGTGACGACGACAACGAGTCACATAGACTACAAATACGACATAGGATAATGCCAGAACAAAAGGGGTACATGCAGACCGACGATCGATCGGGGACGGCCGTTGGATTGTTCCCGAGAGATATTCGAGAAAGACGGAAAGGCGGCAACAGGGCCCCGGACCGCAGACATGTGGTTTGTAATTTGCTGCTCGACCGTTGGAACCGGTGACAAAAAGTCTGAAAAAGGTCAATAAAAATGCAATATGGATCAAACCTCGGCACCTCACAGGGCTCCAGAAGACCCCAGGAGGCCCCAGTTCGGCGCTCACGAACTGTCCGTCACTGCAGTAGCTCCTCCGAGGGGTTCCAGTCCCGCGAAGCCCCCGGTCGGTCGTTTGTTCCGAAAGGGCCTAGACGCGGCCAAAAGACGATGGGCAATAGTGCAACCTGCGGAAAGTGAGGGTGCTGCTGCTGCTGCAAACCAAAAGATGACAGCTGCTGGTGCGGCGTGTCGGTGCCGCGGAGAGGAGGCGAATAAGGCGATAACGCACACACATCCCGCTCTCAGGTCGTCTCCCCATCCCTACAGGAGAGGAAAGGGAGGAGGAGGCCAGGCTCAGGCTCAGGCTCACTCTCACTCTCAGTCTCCAATCTCACTCACTTTCCTCAACCCTCTCTGGCTCCTCACTCCCCCACATCTCCTCTCCTCACTCATTCTTCAGTCGTCCAGAACCTTTCGCGGCTCGCCGTACGGATACCTACCCTCACAGGCTCAAACACAACGAGGCGTGCGCGTGTGTGCCACTTACACGTTCAACGTCCAATTGCAGACTGCAGCCGTTGTCCCTCCTGATCGACCACATCAAGGAAACCTGGCACCCCTCCTCGCCGCCGCAGTCCGTCATCTCGCATTCTCGACCCCCAAAGGACCCGGGAGGATTCTCCCGTTGAGAGGATGTGACCATCTTGTTTTTTTTTTTTTCCCTCTCTCTTCCATCGGGCTGCCCGCGGTTTGCTCCCCAAATTAAATCTTCTGCCCAGTCGTCTTGGCCTCGCACCTCCCCGCTTCGATCGCCATTGCATAACGGAGTAGATCCAGTGTCATGATCTGATCTGATCATGGCACCCACATGAAGCGATCCATCTCATTACTCAGCTCTTAACCTAACACTGGTCTCTTCTCAACTTCGCATCGTGGCTTTTTTCTGTTGGACCTTTTCCTCTGGTCCTCTTGGCTGCTCTGGGTGAGATACCCGTGTCTCCAGCATGGTCTACTGTGGTAAGCCGTCCAAGGGCTGTTCCAACTGTCGTGAGCGCAAGATCAGGGTAAGTTCCCTATCCTTACTGTAAATATTCCGCGACTCGTGCAGCCAGGTTTGCCCTCGTTGTTGATTACCAAAAGTCTCTTGTATGGCGGCGAGTAGGCAACGTCTTCTCGCCGTACGGCGGGAGAGTCCCCTGACTTTAGGCTAATGGCGACGCCAATAGTGTGATCAAAAGGAGCCCGGCTGCGGCCAGTGTGAGAAGCGACAGCAACAATGTCCTGGCTACCGAAACCTCGTCGACCTCATGTTCCGAGATGAGAGTTCACACGTCATCAAAAAAGCTGCCAAAACGAAGGCAAGGGGTCGCTTAAAGAATGCACAGGCCTCGAGTGCCGGATCGTCCTCCGAAAATGTAATAGCAAGCACCGACCACGACAGCTCCGACCCGAGTCCTGGAACGGCCGTGAGACCCGGTGGTCGGCGCCAATATCCACCTCGTCCCATGGATCCCACGATGCAGAATATGACTATTAGGCATCGGCCACGGCAGATCCAATGGTCCTCCTCCTCCTCCGATAGCGATGATGATGAAGACGGGCACTGGTCAACGGCACCACGCGCAAGGCCTTTGTACTCTTTGTCGCCCTCATACCAGGAACGTGGCACGGCCTTCTTCTTTTCTCGCTATGTCTCCATGGACGAGAATGCCTGCCATCAGAATTATGACTTCATCTTTGATGTCTGGCGTCCCGCCAGCATGCTGCCCAGTCGACAAGCGGACGGCGTGATGGCGAGTATTGCCGCTGTCGGCTTGGCAGGCCTTTCACACCTGACAATGTGTGCAGAAATGATGGACTGGTCGCGTCGGAGCTATGGCGCCGCTCTCAAAATGACAAATGATGCTTTAAGGGATCCAGTTGAGGCTGTCAAGGACACCACCATGTTGTCCATTCTCGTGTTGGGAACCTACGAAATGTTAAGCGGTCGTACCAACCAGACAGTGAGAGCATGGCAAAACCATCTCAACGGTGCCTCTGCTCTGGCCAAGATGCGAGGCCTCGGCCAGTTCAGAACCAGAGCAGGAGCACGAATGTTCATGATGCTGACGCAGATCGTCCTCATCAACTGTATGCAGAGAGACATGCCCATGCCGCAGTCTCTCATCGACCTCCGGAACCAGCTGGGTATGCTTTCGGGCGGAACTGACCCGGGCTGGCGATTATCTGGTCCCATATACAAGGTTATGCAGTTGCGGTACGACATCAACAGCGGGAAACTTAACCAGACGGCCGATATCATCAACCAGCTGTCCAACGTCGATCAAGACTTTGCGGATGTTATTGCCGATTTGCCTGAAACGTGGAGATACAGATCCGTGAGGCTTGCGACAGCACACCCAGCCGTTTTTGATGGTCACCGCTGTGATGTATACGCCACGCTAGGGCTGGCCGCGACTTGGAACGGCGTCCGATCGATAAGGATGATGGTACACGAGACCATCCTCGGAGAGCTTTTCAAATGCTTTCAGGGTCAACACATTATGCTCTGGCCGTACGAAGCAAGATTGCAGCTGGCAAAATCTGTCGAATTGTTGGAGAAACTTTGTGAAACTGTGTTGGCAAGCATTCCTCAACATTCTGGTGTTGTCAACTTCAGAGACGCCATATTTGGAGGCGGCGGCGGCTCAGCGTCAGCCATTGTACCAGTAACGAAGTCTCCGTCTCGAATTGTGCGGTCCCCTTCAATTTCCGCATCGTCGTCTTCGCCGTTGTCCGTGGCTGAAACGCCGCCCAGCCCGAGATCTTTCAATGGACCAACTCTGCAAGATCCAACCTACGCAAAGGGCCGCAGCAACGATGCCGAGCGGTTTATGACCCTTGCTTCCGCAAGCAATACGATTGTGTGGCCGTTGTATTTGGTTGGCGTTTCATCATGTTGTACGCAAGAAGTCAAAGACTTTGTCGTCGACCGGTTGAGAGCAATACTCGAAGAGTCGGGGTTGATGCAAGCTCATGGAGTGGCACTCATGGTTCGGGACAAGGAGGTGTATATTCCGTGGTCTGATGTATCCTGGAATCGGATGCCACAGACACATATATCGTCCGACTTGATCGTATAGAGTTGGAGAGCTTAGTGAGGCGTGGCTGAATCGCTTGCTGCCTTTGTATCAATAGACATATACATAGATGGTGCGCAGATAATCCTAGTAGCTTTGGATGCGCAGTCAGATGGTCAAAAGGGGTATCATGTCTTTTCTTCGTCCCGTAGCCTTTAAACTATATCGGCGTCAACTCGGCAACGATGTCTCACCAGTTATCGAAATTGCCGAATCCGCCACTTTTGAACTTCTTTTTGGCCGGCTCTTCCCAAGTATCCAGGTCGGCCGCTCCCCTATCTGTAGTAGCGGAGCCCTGCGACTTCAGGTATTTGCCCACGCCAGCACCGGCGTTCCCACTGTCCACAGTGCCGTCGGCTCGGATTCGCTTGCCCGTCCACGTTGTCTTGTCGTCCTCTGTACCTCCACTCAAGGCTATTGCCTGCCTCTTCTTTTCCAGATTCTCGATCTCGCTTTTTTCCTTGAGGAACTCTTGGAACGGATCCAGATAGACCACCACGTCTTTCATAACGATCTTGTTGAGAGGTCTGTCGGACCCATCAGTGGGAACGTCTTCCATCTTGGAGAGCACGTCGAGACCACCGACAACCTTACCAAATACAGTATGCTTGTTGTCTAGGTGCTTTGTTGGCCGATAGATGATGAAAAACTGGCTAGAGTTGGTATTCTTGCCTTTGTTTGCCATGCTAAGAACGCCGCGAGCATCATGCGTCAAAGGCCCATCGAACTCGTCTTCAAAGTTCTTCCCCCAGATGCTGGTGCCGCCCTTGCCGGTGCCCGAGGGATCGCCTCCTTGGAGCATGAAGTTTCTGATGTTTCGGTGGAAGGTGACACCCTTATAATAGCCCTTCTGGGCCAGTCTCGTAAAGTTCCATACGGCGCGAGGTGCGTATTCTGGATACAGTTCGATGTTGAGATCGCCTAAGTTCGTCTCTATGCGGACATAACCTTTGATCTTGACCCGTTTCGGCTTGAGCATATACTCTTCGTCCGTCAAGAGTGCCCGCTCGCCACTCGTCTCGGGCGTGAGGCCTGTGCTGGTAAAACTGGCGGCAGCTCTGCCGTTGGTGTAGACCGCAGCATTTGACGGGATCTTCTTCTCCGTTACCATGGATTTCCTTTGTGCTGCCGATGCCGCCTTCACAACGGCACCTGAAGAGCGGTTGACGTCGGTGCCTCCATCACGCTCCATTCTCGCTTTCTCGACAGCCTCCTTTGCCCGCAGAACCTTATCACCAATCCTGCCCAGCGCATCAATGTTGACGTTGCCATTCTTCCGCTCCTCCTCTTGCTCTTTGCTTAGGATAGCATCTTCGCCATCCTTGAGGTATTTGAACTGGCTTAAGTCTCTGCTAGCAGCATTTTGGGGGTCCTGCAAGGTAATGATATCCGCTCTTGTGAACTTTTCGTCGTCAACAAGATCCTGCCAGTTCTTCGCCTTGATATTCATTCGCTCGACGGTCTCCCAGGCGAAGACGTTTGCATATGTTCCATGTCGAATCGCAACGATGTGGGTATTGTCAGTGAAGACTTTGAAGGTGACGGGATCGATCAGATCGCCTTGGCCATCGCTTAAGCCTGCGCTCCTCGAGTCGGTTTCGGCATTTCTTGAAAAGTTGAGCTTGATCAGGTCTTTAGCGTTTAATGGCTCGCCATTGACAGGGTTTGTGTTGTGCTTGTCCAACCACGAGCTGATGATTTCGACGTCAAAGATGGTACCATCTCTAGTGCAGACTGGATTCTTGAAGGGCTGGAGGCTGGCGGCACAAAAGTTGAAGGGTAAACGGCGAAAGGAGCCTCGCGACCGCGAATTGACATTGGCGCCAGCGCTGGCAGAGTAGGCATCCGATGATGACCACTCGGAATGGGTGATATAGAGCTTGTCTGTGTTTTTACCCATTGTCGCCGTCAACGGTTATTGATCCTCAGGCGGGGTTGATTGAGGCTGACAGACTTATAATGGCGAAATTGCGATGTGGAAGAGGTGGGTGTATTGTCGTAGCCGCGCTATACAATAATGGCGGAAGTTGAATCTGAGCTGGGGAAACGCGACAGGAATCTTCACCAACGATCATGCGGGAGCGACGATTAGACAACCTGGCAGGGTGGCTCCCGTCGTCGGCCCTAGCGGGTTGGCTGCCGTGCGGCGGCACCATTTACCTTGTACGGGGCTGAGGTAACCTGTCCTCCCTACCTTACGGGTAGGTTCCCTTACCTTCAGGTACCTAAGCTACCTTCTTTAACTACCTAGTAGGGATATCTGCCTCTCAATATACATAAAGGTACCTGTGTTTCACCTAGCAGCTCTGCGTAAAATCCAGTAGCGCAGTGCTCCTGGCGTACTGACCAATGAAACTCTCCAAGTGTTGAAAGTTCCAGCAGTCACTAAGCGTACGTACCTCGGAGCTTGGCACGCACCTCCCTCACGCTGCAAGTTTCGCGCAAGGTCCGGTTCCTGTCTGCCAGGCTGGCACTGACAGACTTGCATCTGCTACAAGCTCCCTTCAACACCGTTTCCGTGCAACGTATCCGAATTGGCCGGATTTGCTGAAATTCACGATCTCTCAGCGCCATTTTCCAACCGTATCCAAGTCGCATGCCCCCTTTCGGTTCGGCATGTTACACGCGATCATCGTCTCAGCAACATCGTCGTAATTAGAGCTGGCTGGAGCTTGACACCCAAGGCGAGCATCACGTAGCGATCGCCTCCCCTCGACTTCTAGTCGACCAAACCTTAAATACCTCCTCTCCGTCGCAGTCTTCCGGTCTACGGTACCCCATCCTCGAGATGAAGGCGTGGCTCTATGCCTCCGTCCTGGGCATGTCCCTCTGGGCGGCTAATGCTCTAGAGGTGAAGATGGTAAGACTTCTATCTTGAAGCAATGATTGCGACACACCTACTCGGGTGCCATTAGAAGCTAATTTGACTTCGCTCCCATAGGACCAAACGGACGAAAATAGACAGAGATGCTCAGGTAATTCCGACAGTGGCTATAGAGCGTAGATGCTATGCACAACACGATACTGATAATGGTTCAACGCAGGCATGTACAGCCGCAGCGCCTGGGGCGGACCTGTCGACCCTTACATCAACGTTATGTTCATCCCGAAGGAAGCGCCAGCGGACCAGGATCCTACCGTGAGCTTGGTTATCTTCGAGTGGAAAGACGAGGACTTGATTGGCGTTCGCGAGACTCCGGATGCAGAGAATGTGAGATACCCTCGCTCGAGAGGCCTGAGAACAACTCTAATGGGTGACTGACACTCCGTTTCAAACAGAAAATCGGCATTTGCCAGGAAGCATTCGTTCAGAAGAACTACTGTAACGAGACCGACATTGGCAAGTTCATCATCGATAAAGAAGCCACGACTAAGTCGAAGAACATTATCGAAACGAAAGCCATTCACCTCAAGGAACCCCAGAGCACCAAATACATGATCAAGAAGACGGGCTATTACTGCGTCCTGACCGATAAGTTCACCGCGGGCGAGTTTACCGCTGTCGTAGAGTTCCGCAATGCCTACGGCGAGCTGCCTGCGACTCAAATCCCGAAGCTACCCTTCTACGGCGGAATCACTATCCTCTATGCTCTAGTCGCCGTATTCTGGGGCTTTTTGTACTACCAGCACCGCCATGATATTCGTAAGTCGAAAGGTTCAATGCCGTTGTTGCCAATCTACTCACAAACCACAGTACCGGTTCAGAATTACATTACGGCCATCATTATTTTCCTCGTTGTGGAGATGCTCTTGACGTGGGGCTTCTATGGTGAGGCTCCCTTTTCTCAGTTGCAAGCCGTAAATTGACCCAAAATAGATTACCTCAACCGAAATGGTGCAAACATCGGCTCCAAGGTGTTGCTAGTAATAGTAGCCATTTTGAACGCCGCTCGTAACTCATTCTCATTCTTCCTGTTGCTCATTGTCTGCATGGGCTATGGTGTAGTAAAACACACGCTCGGGCGAACGATGATCTGGGTACGCTGGCTTGCGATTGCCCACTTTGTCTTCGGGCTCGTGTATGCGATCACCAGCTTGCTGATTACCCCAGACGCTGCTGGTAAGCCGTCATAACCTGATACCTCGAGCAACTCAGACCGTTATGGACTAACACACTATAGGACCTTTCGTGCTTCTCATCGTCCTCCCTCTTGCAGGTACACTTACTGGGTTCTACATCTGGACGCTGAACTCTCTGAACTTCACGCTCAAGGATCTGCGTGAGCGCAAGCAGCATGCAAAGGAAGCCATGTACAAGAAGCTATGGTGGTGTATCCTGATCAGCATTTTCGTCATCTTCGGCTTTTTCTTCTTCAACAGCTTCAGCTTCGCATCGGTTAGCGACCCCGACTACGTTCCCTTCCACTGGAAGTCACGGTGGTTCGTCCTCGATGGCTGGCTGAATCTTGTCTACTTCGCCGATGTTGCATTCATTGCCTACGTCTGGAGACCGACAGCGAACAATCGCCGCTTCGCCATGAGTGACGAAATTGCACAAGACGACGATGGCACGTTCACGATGGCTGATATTGGCGGTATTGATTCGGACGATGACGACGAGGAAGCCCAATTGGGCAAGAACAACACCACTGCTCCAACGTCCACTCCTGGCCACGGTGGCTCGTCGGCCGCACCGGCGACCATGCCCCAAGCGCAGCCACAAAGACACATTCCTCGCGAGTCTTTGGATGGAGAGACCATCTTCGCAGTCGGAGAAGATGGCGACAGGTTCTCGGATGATTCTGATGAGGAAGACGCCAAGCTTGTAAGCAAGAAATAGACGGTGGGCATTTTTGGGTTTCGGGCATCAGCAAAAGCAGCAATTGCGTAATTGCAGTGTAAAGTATGCACTTCGAGGGCGGCGTTGGCGTAGTATACTCGGTTTCCGTCATTCAGGAGAGAAGGTTCATTGTCATGTAGAGGTTGGAGGTACCCCATTGTCAATTATATGATCGCAAATAATGCTCTTGAGTTTGCTCTCGTTTGGTATCATTCTACAAGTGGTTCCTAAATTAAAAGCACATGGCAGTTCTTACACATCGCCGCCAAAGCCGACGGGACGCCTCTTTCCATCATTCTCAGGCAAGATGGCCATGGCCTTGTAGACCTTACCCATCCCGCCGGGGCCACGGTCAACAAGACGCTTCCAGGCACCCTCGATGGCCTGCGCCTTATCAGCGGCCGCCTTGGCTTTGACTTGCTTGATTAACACCTCAGCACGCTCTTTGATGCCCATCTGACCCAGGAACGCGCCCTGGTCGACCGGCCCGTGGACCTCGACACCCTCACTTGCGACCATCGCTGCCTCAGCGATGGCGGTGAAGTCGACGTCAGCGCTCAAGTCGACGAGGCCGGGTTCCGAGAAGGGACTGACGCGGCGGTGGCGGCGGATGCCTCTCAGAGAGTTGATGGGGACGGTGTCAGACGTGCCGTAATCCAGGATCAGTGCCGCGCCAGAAGGCCGGACTTTGGGATCCTGCTTTGAGCCGCCGATGCGGCTGGCAAAGTCGGCTGCGTAGATGGAGGCGTCGGGGCAGATCTCAGCTACGGCGTCCGGGACGGTGGCCTTCAGACGGCGGTAGCGGGATGAGGTCTCGGGGACGTAACGCGAGTGGCGAGTTGGGCCTGTGGCAAGCGTCATTTGGAAGTCGGGGATCGGATCGCCCTGTTCTGATTTCGGTATGTTCATGGTTGCGTGGGTGGCGTCTGGCGGGGTCGGCGAGACGAGCATCTCGCGCCATTCGATCTTGGGTCCTTCAGGTTCACGAGGAGGGGGGTTTCTCGGGGCGGGTTGTCCTGGTATGGGCTCTTTGGGCGGGGAAGGGGGAACGGTCACGGCTTGGAAGGCGTGGATGGGGAGCGCATCAAAGAACTCGTGTGCCACGATCAGGGGCATCTTCTCGGGGCCTGGGGATGGTGTCAGCGTTTCTAACCCTCCCGGAGATGTAACGAATTTCCGGTGCTTACTTTGAGGTATAGACTTGATTGTCTCAGTCCAGACGATGGGTAAGTTGGTCCGCTTGCAAACGCTGTGATAGCCGACTTTGGATTCGGTCATGGGCGCGTCAGGACCGCAAAGGAGGTTCTTCTGCGCCTCGCGGAGCTGAGGGCTGGCCTCAACCATGTAGATAGCGTCGATGCTCTGCGCAAACCCCTTGAAGTTTTGCATAGTCTATAAATGTAATGTCAGTCGTGAACGTTCACTCGCTACAGGTAACTCAATTCTACTCACACGAAGCATATCGTCCATCAGAGTGCCGCGTCCGGGGCCGACCTCCATGAGCTCGACGCCCTTACTAGGCTTGCCCTGGCTCAACCACTCCGCAACAAACCAGATGCCAATCAGCTCGCCGAATATCTGGGAAATCTCGGGTGACGTGACAAAGTCTCCCTTTAGACCGAACTGATCTCTGTTCTCTTCAGCCAAACCCGTATAGTATCCGTCAATGTCACCGGTCAGACACATGCGCATATAGCTCGCGAGAGGTACGGGACCGGTCATCTACGATATGAACGACATTAGATGGAGGCAGTCATGGTCAGAAGAGCGTAGGTATAATACCGAGATGGCTTCGGCCAGCTGTTTTGCCAAGGGTGTGGACCATTTCCTCTCCTCTCCATCCCGCCTCGACACTGTGCTTGAAAAGCATCTGGAAGCATGCGCTGCGCCGGTCCGCCGCACAGCGCGGGATATGGTAGCGCCTCGTAGGCCGTCCAACAGAACTCTTTGACGAGAAATTCGCTGCATCTCTTCTTATTTCCACAGGTTGTCTTTGCTATTTCGAGTATATTCCTGAACTTCAACGAGCTGTTGGGATCATCGCGGGATTCCTCGACAAAGAGAAGCGAGTCCTCAGTAGCACATGTGCATGTGGAACTGCAATGCGAGGGAAGGCTTCTCGTTTCAAGTAAAGCAGGTAGCCTTTTATGATGTTCGCTTCGTTCGCTTCGTTCGTTCGTTTCGTTTACGGCTGCGCGTCGTGCGAGTTTCCAGTGACAAGCAAGAGGAGCTTCTGGAGCTTTGTCAAACCAAACTTTTGGGGTACGATAAGATAAGGGAAGTGTTACGTCCAATTCCGGGACGCTACCTAAAGCTCTAGCTGTGACTTGCATGAGCTCCCGCCGCCGGGTCTTCGAGAAAAAACAAAAGAATAGGACCAAGTCAGAGCAGGGTAGCCGCCGATTCGCCGTGCCTGATCCCTGCTTCACTGCACCACTTGAACGGCAGCGCGATTGCAAGTCGTGGGCCGTTCCCAAGTTGCGTAAACCGCAACGAAACTGCTACACACAAGCCCTCCCGACAACCCCTTTCAAGACGAAGGCTCAAGAATTATCTACACCACATGCTTTCTTAAGTTCTAAAGTAAAAGGCGCTTTCCCATCTGTTGCGACCGAAACCACAACCACCCCCGCCGCCAACCATGGCGAGCAACGCCAAGTCGAGGTGGGCAGACAGCGCAGAGGACGCGGCCCTGGATGCGAAACTGAAGCGAGAAAAGGAGGAAAAGAAACGTTTAAAAGCAGAAAAGGCGCGCAAAGCAGCTGAAGCGGAACGATTGGCGCAGCAGGCGAAGGCGGCGAAGAGCAGCAATGGGACCGAGAACGACGGCGACGGCGACGACAGCACACGGCCAGCGAAACGGCGGAAGTTCACGCCCGATGCGGAAGACAGGACGACGACAGCCCATGGCGACAGTGGCGCACCAGATGCAAAGGAGGGCGCAGCGAAGCTCATGCGCTTCCCCATCGGCCGCTGGGGCAAGTGCCGGAGCGTGGAGAACTACGACAAGCTCAACGATATAGAGGAGGGCACATACGGCTGGGTATCGCGGGCCAAGGAAGCTTCTAGCGGAAAGGTCGTTGCACTCAAGAGGTTGAAGATTGAACCGAGTGATCGCAACGGGCTGCCTGTGACGGGGCTGCGAGAGATACAGATCCTGCGAGATTGCAGCCATCGCAATATCGTCAACCTTGAGGAGGTTGTTGTGGGAGACGATACTTCAAAGATTGAAAAGTACGTGACCAATCTATCTATGAGCCCGCTTTCTTGGAGGTGTGAATGCTAACAACAGAGTTTGTAGTATCTTTCTAGTACTAGAGTTCGTTGAACACGACCTCAAGAGCATCCTAGAAGACATGCCCGAACCCTTCCTCCTCTCCGAAGTCAAAACCCTCCTCCGACAACTGACCGCCGGCGTCGCCTACCTCCACGACAACTGGATTCTCCACCGCGACCTCAAAACCTCGAACCTCCTCCTTAACAACCGCGGCCAGCTCAAGATCGCAGACTTTGGCATGGCGCGGTACGTCGGCGACCCAGCCCCGAAGCTGACACAGCTCGTCGTGACTCTGTGGTACCGCTCGCCCGAGCTGCTCCTCGGCGCCAGGGCCTACGGCAAGGCCGTCGACATGTGGAGTGTGGGCTGCATCTTTGGCGAGCTCCTGACGCGGGAGCCGCTGCTGCAGGGCACCAACGAAGTCGACCAAGTGACCAAAATCTTTGAGCTTTGCGGCGTGCCGACGCAGGAGACGTGGCCCTCGTTCAGGAGCCTGCCCAATGCGCGGTCCTTGCGGTTCCCAAAGACGCCCAACGCGACGGGATCCATGATACGGACCAAGTTCACTACGCTGACGAATGCCGGGTGTAAATTGCTTAACGACCTGCTCTTGTTGAACCCGGATTCGAGACCGTCGGCCGTGGAGATGCTGGAGCACAAATATTTTAGGGAGGATCCAAAGCCCAAGAAGGAGGGCATGTTTCCAACGTTTCCCAGCAAAGCTGGCCAGGAGAAAAGGCGAAGACATGAACCGAATGCTCCCGTCCGCGGGCAGAATGCCGCGGATCTGGGTGACGTCGACTTTAGCGGCATCTTCCAGGGCAGAGACAAGGAAGAGAAGGGCGGTGGATTTTCACTCAGAATGGTGTAGAGAAGAGTTACTAGTTCATACGGCCATGCACCAGCCAGTATCATCAATTAAGCTATATATCAAGATAACACTCATAAACGTCTTGAGTTTACCTATATGCGGAGTCATATTTTGCCCGACCATGCTTCGACACGTAACGCCACCCTTTGTGTTGTGTAAAATGACCACCGTAAATGATTACCGCTGGACTCTTGTTCCTCGCTCTTGTTAGGCCCCCAAAGCAACTAGATATTCAAAAATTACAGATGAAATTTTTTTAGTCATTATAGAACACGTCGTTAAAACATGCCCACTCCCGCCACAAACCATGTGAAACTGGCCACCGTGAGAATGCTCATACCGACAGCCATGCCGAGAGCCTTGCTATCGAGACCAGACGCAGCAGAGCACGTTGCGCAGTTCCACTCGTTCAGGGGCTTGTATTCTTGAGCCTTGTACATGCCAAACTTGAAGCTGGAATAAACGCCTAGGTAGCCGGGCTGAGCGGTAGCACTGACGCTCGATTCCGCGTCGTAGATAACAAGAGTGTATTCGTCGTTTCGCAGCGGCGCGGAGGGGTCGGTCGCTTGCACGCTCGAATCCCAGGTGAAGGAGGCGGGCTGAGCAAAGGTCATGTTCTGTGTCAAAGTCCAGGTCTGGGCCATGGATGAGCACGAGACAAGGACATCGATGGCCGTAGGAGAGGCCTGAAGGTTTGTATAGTTCCATCCCCAGGTGACGTAGTCTCCAATTTTGTAAAGGTTGATAGACTGAGCCGTGGCCGCTGGTGTGATCATGGTAATGCCACCAGCCGGATCTGTGTCATCAAAAGAGGTCGACTTGGACTTGCTGGTGCCGGTCTTGGTGCCAGTGCCCGTCTCAGTGCCTGTAGGAAGCTTTGCGGTGTTGAGATTGGTGGTCTTCGCGCCGCCGGTGTTTGTCTCCTGTGCCGTTGCTGTTGCCGATGCTGTGGCGCCAGTCTTAGCAGTCGCTGTCTGAGTTGCAGCGGCTGGTGAGTAAGGTTAGCTATAGAGGTTCACAAACACAATGTGACGACGGGAGGCTCCCGGGGAAACGTGGTACGACATACCGGTTGAGGATTCATCGTTTTGCCGCACAACCAGAGCATCGACGTCTGGAAGCCACTTGGGCCAGGCGGAGGCCAGAGGAGTGAAGACGGCAAGGCCGAGGGCGAGAGACTGAACGGCCTTCATTTTGATGTGGGAGGAGGTAGATTCCCGGTGAAATTTGTTAAGGTGTGTTGAAGATGAAGACGAAGTTCCTAGCGGGAGGACGTCGTCGAGGCCTTCAAATTTAACCAAAATGGGCTAATAAGCGAGTGTAGTCGGCCGAGAAGGACGCCCTTGATGTCTTTCGATATTCGGTATCGAGTAGTCGTGGTTGAGGGAGATGGTGTTGGATCGTGGCCACCCCTATTTTGCACAGTAAATTCGCAATAACAAGACCTGGGGGGCTTGTCGTTGGCTTGTCGAGTAATTCAGGACCCGGGAGACTTGTGTTTGGTTTGTGAATTCCTCCTCTTTCAATAAACGACCAAAAACGAGCGGGTAGAATCAAGCGAGTGTCGATGTTTCGAATTAAACAGCAAAAAAGCGGACGTCGAGAAAGGGCGTTTGAATTGCTGCTGGGAAGCAAATCACATCAGGATGGGAGGAAAGAGGAGTCGGCCAGGAGAGGGAGGAAGTAGAGGCACCAGCAGGCAGGCTAACTAAGAAGGCGCTGGAATGGGAGGAGAGATTTCGGGGCGGGTTCAACAGGAGGGAACGTGGATGGGGCTCCGATTGATTAGGTTTGGTGGATCCACAGCAACCAAGGCCCATCCCCCGAATGTGCAAGTGACTCTTGGGGGGAGAAGGGGACCGGGGGGGGGGGGGGGTTTCCCAGCGTCTCCTCGAAGCTTTAGGGGAAGTTTGGGTGGTGACCCAACGGTGCGAGTTTGGCTAAGACGCGTTAAGGTAGTGACGGAATCATGGCACGGGCAAGGCCGTAATCCGTATGAACGAAAAAATAACAATAAAAATGGGAATGCAGGGCAACGCGATGCAGTAGGTACCTAGGGAACAGGGGCGAAGCCTGTTTGGCCACACACCAATGCATTGAGAAAGACGGGGTGGCACAGCACAGCCCGGGCTGAGAAGAGGACATCGGACCAGTCAGCAAGGTATTCCAGCCAAACAGAGGGCTGGAAACAATATTTCCTGGCTGGGGCATCCAATGCAGAAAAAAATAACCTGCATATGGGTACAGAAAGGCACGTCTGCATAGGTAGGCAGAGCGGATGGGTCGTGACAAAGTCACAGTAGACAATGGACAGACAGGTTCTTAGGCTGCCCAACAGCCAACAGCCAACAGCCAACAGCCAACCGCCAACCACCAGCCGTCATGTTCCAACCGTCTTCCAGTCCCATCTCTTTCTTCCTTTTTACCAGTACCTGACCTGCCTCCTTGCGCTAAGGATCTTTAGTTCTACCGTCTAGCGTATCGACATGCCCTGGGCCTTTCTCGGCCTGCATCCCCGCCACTCCAAAGCGTTGGTCCCGACCTCGGTTTTTTTTTTGTTTTCCAGCTCGAGAGCAAAGCCTACTCAACAAGACCTCAAAAGCCTGTATGGCAATTAGAAGAGTCCGAACCGTACAGAGCATTGTACAGTACATCAATGCAAGGCCCATGGGTAACGGGGGCTCAGGTATCCATACCTGCCTGTACAGTATTCAGATGCCTTGTCTCCAAGATACCCGGGCATCTAAGTCGGTGGCCTAAGCAGAAGGCACGAATGAAAAGGGCGGAACGGACGTGAGCGTCACTGACTTGTAGGTTCGCGACCTGGTGGTGCATCGGGTTCAGCATGTGGGATCCACCCGGCACATCGTATTCCTTCCCCCCTCGTGTTGACACCCTCTAAAAATAATTACTCGGGACACGCGCCTCCACATCTTCAATCAATCATGAGACTGAGGCGAGACCGATAACCAGCCGCTTCCATCCGTTCATGATGATTTGCAGCCATTATGACATTGCCAACTGATGAATTGTTCCCTTTGAACAACCTGACAGCACATCTACCTGAACATTTGTTCGAGGCTCCAAGCCGCTATTGCCATCGCCACCCTCAATGTGAGGTGTGCATCCCGTCGGATCTCCTCACGGGTTCCCCAACCCCCGACCCGAACAACAAAGCCACCAAAAGAAAATTCCCGTTGTGTTATCCAGCAGGCTGTCTTAAGCCAGCCAAGGTTCTCACAAGCATAGCCAGGTCGTCTAGCTACATACACAAGACCATCAGGTAGTCGCCGAAAGGCTCTCAGCCTCTCACTGTTTCGGACCTTAACATGTTGGTGGCTCGTAACACCACCTAAGAGTTACCTCCGCTCAGCCCAACATCCCGTAAGTAACGACTACGGGTACAGAGTACAGAGGCATGAGGACTTGGGATGAGACAGTCAGCGTTCGCTGCTTGGTATCGCTGATGCAGATTCGCAGGGTCTTGGCCCGCTTTGCATCAACTCTGAGCAGGTTTTTGCGTGCACATCATGCCTACACAGGGTCGATTTGCCGTGCCAATCTTTCCTACTTGCTGGACCGTTTTCGTGCATGCGACCGAGCAAATCTGCAAGTCTGCATTAATACCTTATTAGTGGCATATATTGCGACTAAAAGCAAACTTCTTCCGTCCCGCCAAGATCGACGTTCAAAGTCTGGATGCCCATGTCGTGATCCCTGGGACGGGGCGCGACAATCGACCGGGAGTTCCCAGTTTCGTGCGGTGAACGGTTCCGTCGTTGAAACCGTCTTGTTTTTGCGGAACCTCACCAAAGCAAATTGACTGCACCAGTGATTCATTCAATCGCTCCAATGTATCAAGCAAAGCACAATCGTGCCAATATGGGTGCTTCTTCAAACCCGTTGCTGTACTCCGAGACGTATAGAGGTTCAGAAGACGGCGACTTACCAATACCTTGCCCAGTGATGAGTTAATACAACTTATTTTGGGCCTATTGTGCATACTAGGGCAGCTTGGACTGCATCAATTAGACTGAGCATCCCTCCGCATAACGATGGGTTACGACTGTTATCCCGTCGTCGTCCAATTTGAATATACATTCCAGAACATCGCCGTCACAAAAGCAATCCTTCCCTACTTGAATGACCCTCGATGCATGTCAGTGCAGCTCCTGGCACAGGAAACAGTGTTGAGGAAGTCGAGGTTCCTGTTCGGTGTCAGAGTTTTGCGTCTGTACAGCCTCAAGATCATTCTAGTTGTGTGCGTGAAGGTCGACCTCGAAAACCAGAGTATCCCTACAGTGACTCTCGCGCCCAATCCAAGGGGCCCCTTCGTTGTGGTATGTTCAGGCAAGGTGCTTCCGTCTTCGACATTGAGTTTGGGTAACAAGGGACGAGGTTTGGACGACTCGAGACTTCCCACCGGATGACGTGCCGCCTCAGGGACCACGGGCAGTCCTTCTCCCATCCCCAGGAACAGACTGGACCTGAGGTCGCCTGGATGGATGCAGGATGGCACTTCACTCACCTGACGGCGGATGGGTGGAGCACGAACCACCACTTCCGATAGGTAAGAGGAACGAACCTACCTACCGAAGGTGGGTACCTAAGCGCCACAGTTCGCTCTTATCGATAAACCGATAGAGCTGCTCTTCAGGCACTGTGGCGCCAACACCAGGGAAGGCATTCCAAGTATCTTTGTACCGCTCTCTGGGTGCCTGCCTCACCTGCACCTACCCGTCCGCAACTACCTCAACATCACGCGGCAGAATTATTTCTCCAACTCAAAAATTCAATTGACCTTGGTCAATTGAAATCACGGAGAGTACAAAGGCCATGGCATCTACAGTTGATTCTATGGTCTCGATCGACCGGAATTATCTGGATACCCTCATCAGAAGGTAAGACCTCTCACTTGCACCTAGTTCACGCTAGCAACCGAGCCACTCTCAGTCCGACCTATGAATAATATTTCACGACGAAAGCTAACTACTCGAGCAGGGCTCAGTTGGTGCGTCTTACACGATGACCCATCCTTCATCTCTTCCTTCGTCTCTGTGAGGATTGCTGACGAAGTCTGCTTCAAGAACACCGACAATGATGCTAACTCGACTTATCCCACTGTCACTATTACCCGCGCGGAGCATGACATCCTTGTCAAAAAGGCCCGAGAATTCGGTATGCACACAAATTATACTATGCGCAACTTCTTCTGGGCATCAAAGACCCGGTGATTCTCTACTTACTGACTTCTCGATAGCAAACTTGCGTCGTAACCTCATGCGAGGTGGTGTCACTGAAGCTACCCTGGCTGTAAGTCGAGGTCTCCACCTTTCGCCCCCGTAAACGACACAAGCTGAGCGATGAGCTTCTAGGTATTGACCTGTGACGACTCCAACTATCAAGAGGATAATGTTGAAAAGCAGGTCACTTCACCACGCGAGGCTCCTCGGAATGAGATTCAGCGCCCAATCAGCCAGCCACGCGTGACGACTGCCATGGCTACGCGAGGAAATCAAACCTCAAGCCGACCTCCTATACAGCAACTTGCCAAGCGTGAGTGGGCTGAGGAGGAGCCTGTCACCCTCGATGAATCTGAGCCGACAATCTCTCCCGTTGAGCCTGAGCTTAAGCCTGAACATGGGTTTGTGAATCAGAATGATTCCCAGTTGCCTATGCGGCCTCGGTTCGAGCGCTTGGCCACGCGGACTGTCTTGATCTCGAACCTCGCCGAAGGCACAACTCACGCGGATGTCGTTGGCGTTGTGCGTGGTGGTCAGCTCCTGGACATCTTCATGAGACCCTACGACCGTACTGCCCATGTGTCTTTCCTCCATGGCACTGACGCAGCGGCCTTCATTGAGCATACCCGGCGCCACGATCTATACATCAGACAGAAAAGAGTAGGCTACGCCGTTCGGTTTCCAGCGTCACGTATGGCTAATCGCAATGACAGGTTGATGTTCGATGGAGTGATCGACACTTCACTTTGCCTGGCCATGTTGCGAGTAAGCTCAGCATTGGTGCTAGTCGCAATCTCATCCTTCGACGATGCGATCCGAAGCTCACCGAAGAGGAGATTCGCGATGATATGGAGCACATCCACAACTTGGTTGTCATTGCTGTCAGTTTCCGAGGCGGAAGCTGCTACATCAACACGAACTCTGTGCATAATGCCATGTTTGCGCGGACCTGCATGATGAGTCGATTGTGAGTCGTACTTCTTGTTGGACACAGGTGCTTTGGGACTTACACGTCAGCAGCAAATACAAGGGATCTAAAATCGAGTGGGACGTCGATGAATGCGCGCAGCCCTTGCCTACCGAATCTCATCGAGTCCAGACTCAAGTACCCCCGACCAGACGCCCAATGAATCCCATGGCCAACCGTTTCGAGCTTTTGAGGTTGGAAAAGGCTGAGGAAGACGAGGAAAACCTTCGGCCGAACTTTCACACCAGCTCCCCGCTGAAGATTGTGGTTTGATGACGAATAACGAGGTCCGGACCCCGTACGATTCCCAGTAAACTTGGGATTGGAAGGCGAAGTTTGAGGACTCCCTGGTATATGGTTGTCGTTTGAGCATATGGGCCTTTTTTTTTTTTGTGTCTTTTGGGGGAAAGGTCTGTGATGTTTCTTGGCGGGAGGGTACTACGGAGTTCTAGAGATACCCTACGCCTCGAGTATGTTTGTTACTTCATTAAAAACCAGTCTCCGCGGATTATCGACTCCATGTACGAAGATGAGATAGACCTCTAAGAAATTACCTTTGCGGTCGATACTTCAGCATCAACAAAAACACCAACTAGCAACATACCTCTCGTGACTTCTGCACATTTACCTGGTCATGAAATGAAAGTAGAATGTTTGAGCACAATGTGATTAATCACACTTCACCTCCTTGGGCATATTTTGAATAAAAGACATTCAGAGATGCTCACACTCTCAAATTTGAAGGAGTCTGACCCTGTATGTTGTCTCACTATCTATCACAAGGGACGTACTGGCTTGATCCTTTTGTAAGTACGGGACTGAGGACCTAACGATTTGATATCCCACACCGAGCTTCTTACCTTTTGCTTGTTTATTCTATTATCTCATGTGTTCCATTCTCCTATGAGAGGTCAACGGGTATATGGGTCACAGATTCAGAGGAAGGAGCGTCTCCCCGGTATAGTGCAAACTTGCTGGGGCCACGTAACCTGGTGGTTAAACGGGTGATGAAGAAACCGGGACGCTGGTTTTCCGTAGGGATAGGATTCGAACCAACGCCCGAGCTTTTTTATTGATTTCTTGCCCATATTCCTAGTACTTTGACATTGGGCTATTTGATCACAGGTGGTAGGTAGGTGGTGTTCTATATCAAGCAGATGTTCAAGATGATACAGGTAATAGAGCAATCGTGCCCACCGTGTCTAAACACGATTAAACTCGTGTCACCATACCGAGCTCGCTCTCGTGCTAGGCATATAAATCGGCTATCACATGGATTGGTAAGAGACCAAGAATACATTTGTATTTCATTGATGGAACACATTCTGAAGAACAACTCCAGTCCAAACATATCCTCCAATCTCCGTGTACAACACCAGATAGGTCACATACTAAAGCAAAATATCTGGTCCCCTTCACGAAAAACAGAGAGCCAGATTTTCCTCAAACAACATTCCAAGCCTGGTCAATCGGCAGACTCACCCCGTTGATCGTTCTCGCCTGGTCTGTGGCCAAGAACAGCACCGACTGCGCGACCTCGAGCGGCGTGATATTCGGCGTCGACTCGGACGCCTGCGCGTGGAGGGCATGAACGGGCTCGACCTGCGCGTAAGCCTCGGCGTCGAACTCCTCGTCCCCTCCGTGGCCGGCGGCAATGGCCTTGCCGATGCGCGAGTCGATGGCGCCGGGGAGCACCGCGTTACACCTGATGCCTTCCTTGCGGAACCGCCATGCCACGTTCTTGGTGGCGCCAATCTACCGCCTCAGGGGCGTCAGCGATATTCTACCTATCCCTGAAGCCTTCTTCCGAGAAGTCTACCCGGCGAAGGAAAAAGATGAAGAAAGTAGGAGAAAGAGAACGAACCAGACCGTGTTTGCTGCACGTATACGCTATCCCAGCCACGGCCCCCGAGACGCCGGCCGTGCTGGCGACGTTGACGATGACGCCTGACTTCTTCTCGAGCATAAAGGGTATCACCGCCCTCATCATCTTGACCGGGACCGTGAGGTTCACGGCCACCACCCGATCCCACTCCGAGTCCGTCACGCCGTCGGCGCTGCTAAACGATCCCATCACGCCCGCAACGTTGACGAGCAAGTCTATATGTCCGCTGGATATTCACCCGTCAGTCCATCATAATCTTCCATCGATAACCTTCCTTTCCCCTTTTTGAACAACCTCAGAACTCACCCAAAAGAAGCAACAGCAGCATACACCCCATCCTCGCATGCCCTCGGTCCCGTGAGATCAGCGCGGTGGAAATGGAACCGGCCGTGGTCCGCCTCCTGGAGCAGCGCGTAGTTGAACTCGCGCGCGTCGAGTCCGCAGACGGAGTACTGGTGCGCCAAGAGCAGCTGCGCGCACGCGAGGCCCACGCCCGAGCCGCACCCCGTGACGATGGCGACCTTGCCGAAGCCCACGGGGTCGATGGTCGCGGGCGGGATGAAGAGGGCGTCTGGGGAGGTGGTGAAGAACATTGCTAACCCGCTGTATTTCTAACGGGCTTCCTAATTTTGGCGGTCTGGGTCTGAGTCTGAGTCTAGGTGGAGAGAGCCAACTACAAAGGTAATCTGACGACCAGATCTGGTGCTTGCTCTAAGTGTGAATCAAAGTACTTGGCTGGAAATGGTGTTTGTCCGTTTCTAGGAGTTACTCTCCTCTACGGTCCATGGTGTGCTGTTCTCCGACTTCTTATGCCAGCTCGCCTCCAAAGCCAAGTGGTGTCATCGGCGTGCCCAGAAGACGGCCACACCTGAACGAAAGCTAAATGATTCGATGGGAAATCATGGCACACGGGAGTCCTGGTATAACCCAGCTCGGTGTATCTCGCCCCAGACGTCTCAAAGCAGGCTTCTGTTGGGCTATTCCCATTGCTCCGGTGGCCTATACCGAGAGAGGTGAAGGGGCAAATAAGCGAAATAGAGGACCAGAGAACCGTCTCACGCAGTATCAGGCCACTTTTGGACCCAGGTAATGAAAGCATACTTGACAACCTAGCTTGAGGTACTATAATGCCAGTCCAGCTGGACAAGTAGACCGGTGCGGGCCGCTCTCGAATGTCACGCCACGGTGCATGGCTGGGAACGGGAAGACAGCCACGTGGGATTGCGCGGGGGCGGGGTCTGAAAGGTGAGCCCATATATCAACGCTGGCTGGTACCCAGTGCTTCTCCGTCACCTCGAGCATCACCGTGTGGATTTTTAAGACAACGTGGCTTATTTAATATCTGAAGCATTGGACCCAATGACTGTTGCGAAACTGGTAAATGAGGTGTGTCCCAGGGTATAGTTTTCCTGCCTCGATATCCCATCCTGCACCTTAGCCCTTCTCCCCCAAGCAATGCTTTGCCACCTTAAAAAAAAGCGTTTGGAATCCCATCAACCCGTCGCAATGCAACACCGAAAGCAAAAGAATTACGAAACACAAATCAAGCGTGAACCCCAGAAAAATCGCGCGGTCAACTCCTGTATTCCTCTTCACCCGGTCACCCCCCATATCGTTCAATCGAGGCATCGAGGCATTGAGGCCTACTTGCCGTTATTCGCAACTGATGCCAAATAGCCAAGCAGAAAGCTTCGGTCGGCAGGAGAAATCGGCGTCTGACTGCCGCGACGAGACTCTGACAGGCTCTCCGGGGCACCCTGGCCGCTTGCAGAGGCCAGAGAAGCCACACGTGATCGCATACTCCCGTCCGGAGCCATCATCTCTCTGGCCTTTCCCTTATCCTCGAGAGCAAAGCCAGGCCCGGGGCTCGGCGACTGAGGCTTGCCAAAAAGCGATAGAAGCTTCTGCCTCTGTTCGGGGGGCATCTGTGATTTCTGCTGCAGCCCAGCAGGTGCCGGGAGAGCGGATGCTGACGGCGGGCTGGCCAAACTGGCTGGCTTGTCGACCCCGAAAACCGAGGCTAAAGCAGGCGCACGAGGGCCAACAGGTTTGCTCATGTTCTCGGCCCTCTGGAGGATCTGATTCGAGTGCATCTGGGGCGAGTGATTGTTGTATATGGCGGAGTTGTTGTTCGCAGCTTGATGATAGAGACCTCTGTTCTCCATCGTTCTCGGACTATAACCCCCAATAGTCTGAGGGCTTCTGTGCTCTTGTCTGCCGAGTTGAGACTGGAGCGACAGCGCTTGAAAGGGTACCTGAGACGTCGGATCTGAAGCGCTTTGAGGTGGCCTGCTGAGAGGACTGCTTGAAGCTGGCTGAACTCCACGGAACACGGGACTGGGAACCTCCTGGTTGCTAGCCTTTACGGTCGATATGCCCTTCAATAGAGCAGCGCTAGCTGTAGTTCCGGGCAGTTCGACGGGTTGGTTGGCAGGTGGGGAGCTGACTTCAGGGTTCTTGAACATGGAAAGGAGAGCAGACCGATGCGCAGGATCGACAGGCTGCTGGGCCCTCATGGATGGACTTCCCTGGGGGTGTGCTACGCCTGCCCCCGACATGTTAGGCGACTGAGGATACTGAGGAGCTCCATTTCCATGGAGTCCGATTGGCCACTGACCCTGCCCCTGAGACGCGGATCCGTAGGGCTGCTGGTTTGCCTGACGAGCCTTATCTGGACTAGCTGTTCTTGTGTCCGACTTGAGCACTCCCAAGAGCGCCATAGAGTGATTGGAGAGGTGACTGCTAGGCGGCTTGGGCTGATACATCATGTTCTGGCCTTGCTGCTGGAACTGTGCTGGTTGGTACTGAGCATTCGCCATGGTTTGGCTGACAGTCCCCTGTGCGTGTTGAGGGGGCGGCGGGGGTGTGCCGTCGGCAAATGCGTTTCGGTTCAGCAGAATCTTTTGAGCTTGAGGCGGCAATGGTTGAGGGTGCCTCAGGGGTGGCTGTGGCAGTTGAGCAGGGCCGCCCATCATCGAAGGGCCGTACTGCCTAGCTTGAGGATGAGCCGAGCCGGGCTGCTGAAAAGCCCAGGCTTGTGGTGTCCCATCTGGACCGATGGGGAAAGCCGGCGGAGCTTGATAACTCGCCAGCGGTGCCCGTTGCTGAGGGTGATGTTGGCCATGAGGACTTTGAGGCTGTGGAGCCTGCCTAATAGTGTGATCGAGAGGCGTATGAGGGAGCTGCGAGACTGGAACCCCTTGGGCGACTGCTTGATTCTTGGCCTGCAGGATAGCGAGCAGCGATGCGCCCTTGTCTGCTCCAATATCCGGAGAAGCTGGCTTCGATGTTGCTTGTGCTGCCGTCGGATGGACCTTTAACAGACGCTGCAATTCCTGTGTTGCACCTTCCAGAGTATCAAGACCTGGCGTCCGAGTCGATACATCAGTCGCGGGTTCGGTTTGCCAAACTTCGTCTTCAGTGACAGGCTCCTCGTGAAGAGAGTACGGGTTGAAGTGCGCCTCGTTGGCAGCCTTGACAGCATCTTTTCTCTTTTGCTGCACGACCCATTTCTTCAAAGGAACCAGAAAGGGCGCAACCATGTAAAATTTGTTCGCATTGGCGGCGGCGGCGGCCTCGTTCTGAGGTTGGTTCCCTTTCTTTCGAAAAGCGGGTAGCTCGGATAGTTTGTACCACTGAATCTTGCTGATCTCCTTCCTCGTCCGTGGCTCAAAGTGAGTGTCCATCGGTACGTCGCGGAAGACGTAGAGCCTCAACTGCTGCTCTCTCATGGTGACCTCGATATACTTGACGTCTTCTCTGTTTTTGGGAACCAGGCCAGCAGCATGCAAATCATACCCTGTCTCCTCGTATACCTCACGAACGGCGCACTCAAGGTCGTCTTCGTCCTTGTTGATCTTTCCACGAGGGAAACTCCAGTTGGCGCCCTTCTTCCAGCCTTTGACCAAAATTGTCGAGTCCATAGCCTCATTGAGCATGATGGCTCCCCTCACAGGTACTCGAGTCTTATACTGCAAGAACTCCTCAAAAGCCTTTGTATGATTTTCGACCGAAAACGGAGCTAGTAAGGGACAATGTTGGAAAATCCGAAGACTGAAACTTCGAAGTGTCATTGAAGGAAGCGTGGGGTCAAGGGGCCGGACGAAGTCTTCGTAGAACCATTGTGCCTCCTCTATTTGGAAGCAGATGCGAGCAACGGACGACAGGTCTTCTTCAGGTAGGTTGATGATAAATCGGACACATAGATCGTCCAACCCTATGTACTGTTAGTCCTGCCGCAGCAACTGTCATGAGTTGATGGCGCAAGGCTGAGTAGCTATCGCCGTGTATCTTCCAAGGTGTGGGGCAACCAACAATCTTCTAACTGCATCTTTTCTTCGGCCATGTTGCGCGATGGCTAATAACATGTCCTAGGGACGATGTCTCTATTTTAGTCGGGTGTACCTGGTGAGGGAGTGAAGGTGACGAAATGCTCCTGGCAATGAGTCTGTGTTGAGGTCGAGATGAGGAGCTGTTGCATGGTACGGAAGGAGAGGCTTGGGGTTCGGTCGGGCTCGAAGCTTTCCGCTTGCGACCGGAATGCGCGTGCTGCAACGAGAATCGGCAGCGACGGGCAATTCAGCGGATTAAGGTGGATGGAGTTGTAGGACAGGCGTGGCTTCCCAGGGATGCGGCGTGTTTATTGTTTGGAGCGGATGCGCTGACAAGCGGCCTCTCGGATGTGGTGATGATTTGGAGTTTGGGCGAGGTAGGATGCGGAGTAGTGACGGGCACTGCACGTCTTTGTTGACGATGGCAGATACTGCAACGTCAGGCAGCTAAGGTAAGGTAGGTAAGGTACAGCGTACTCCGTAAGGTAGCTGGCATACCTACCCGTTGACCCGTTCCTCGAGGCGCCTGACTGGACGTGGCAGATGCCGTGCTCGCAAACTGCTTAGCGAGCTCATGATTGGGTGCGACTTCCCCAGCTCCGCACGCGTCAAACAGCGCACTGTCCCATCACGCGTCCAATCCAGCGATGGCTACAGTGCGCATAGAGCTTGCTGCCAAACTAGGTACCATGACACAGCCCGTCTCTCCAGCTTGTCAACCACATCAGATCAACACCTCGCTTCCATCCGGTCTCGACTGGTCCCTGTCAGCTATATGTTGCCTCAACTGCTGAATGAATTAAGCATGGAGGCCAACAGGCAAGCTCCCTCAATGGCCTTTCATCCTATGACAATTTTCTCTTGATGGAATGCACCCGAGAGGTGGGAGCTTCCTTGATACAAGGGGCGAACTTTGAAGATTCTGGACAATACACAGCCACGGTATGGCTGTGCACGTACATCACTTGCCACACTTGCGTGGCTGGTCGTGCCGAACGCTTTCACTGCTGAGTCTGCTGGCAGCTTCTCAAAGTGTGCTGCATTACATGCAATTCAGGGCCATTGAAGACCAGTCGCGGCGCACGCTCATTGGTGACCAGCCAGCTGGCCGCTGCAGCATGATGTGAAACGACTGCGGTCTAGCCTGCTCAGACCCCACTGAAGAGGCCTCTCGGAACTGAGGCAAGTGCATTGGCGTGCAGTGACCGACAAAATTACATCATGATGGTAGTCTGGTCCCCTGACTTGTCAAAACAGGAATTCTGGGCGCCCGCGGGGGAAAACAAGCGTCCAAGGGACCAGCCTCTTGTAACTTAGCTACAACCTGACCTACGTAGTGTGTAATGAGCACAAGAGGCAACTTGATCTACCATACTACCCATACAACCCATACCTTACCATACCTTGGCAACTCGGACCCTGCCAGCCAGCTTCCCAGCTTGTCTCTCAACACCTACTTATATCACCAAGGCCGTTCCTCTCGCTCGGTTGCCGCAGCCGTCTTGGAATCTCTTGACCTTTGACAACCTTACATTCAGGACTACCTACCAGCTTGCTCAGGTATTCTTACCTCAACCTACGCCAAGAGCTCACAGGACCGCGTTGCGAAAGGCCTTGTTACCAACGGTCCCGACAAGCGTGTCTCTGTCTCAGTGCGCCACTCATCACTACCAGTGACTGGGAAACACCGTTCTTCGTAATCCGGCACTCACCCACAACCTACCGGTCCGGCACTTCGCCAACGATACAACTGCAAACATGGCCAGTCTCATCGCCAAGTGGGTCAGCAAGAAGATTCTTGCTGAGAAGGTTGAAAACAAATTTGGCCGCGAGGTATGTTACCTTTTTCCATCTGGGCCCTGCGCTCACCCGCGAGATTGTGGATCCACGAATAGATTGTACTGACCTCATCACCAGGACCCTTATTTTGAAAGTGTCCCCGCCACCAGGCTTGATGGTACACCCAACGGCAAGGTCAAGAAGCGCAGAAAGGCCTTGCCGCCTGGTCTTTCCAAGCAAGATGGCGAGGTTTTGACCAAAGTCAAGAGAAGAGCCTACCGTCTCGATCAGTCGCTTTTCAGCTGCTGTGGTGTGAAATTTGGATGGGGTAGCGTCATCGGCTTAGTTCCTGCGTAAGTGCCTCCTGTCCTCCCCTGCTGCTGCATCACCCCCACAGTCCCCATTCGGCTTATCGACAAGACGACGACTAACATCATGTTGGCTGTAGTGTTGGTGATGTTCTCGATGCTTTCATGGCCATGATGGTGTTCAGAACCTGCTCTAAGGTCGAAGGTGGACTCCCAAATTCAGTCAAATCCCAGATGATGTTCAACATCATTGTCGATTTCGTCATTGGCCTGGTGCCATTCGTGGGCGACATCGCCGATGCTGCTTTTCGCGCCAACACCAAGAACGCCATTCTTCTCGAGGAGCATCTTCGCGAGAAGGGAAAGAAGAACCTGAAGCGTAGCGGAGCTCCCATTCCTGCTATTGACCCGAGTGAGGCAGATGAATGGGATCGCTTGCAAGGCGACCGCACCCCGCCCGAATACGTCAGCCGTGAGCCTTCTCGCAATGGACACATGTCAGCAGGCCGCCATGAACGCGCTCCAACTGCTCCAGCCGCCGCTGCAGTCAAAGAGGAGCGTTCCGGCGGCCGAGGCTGGTTCGGTTTTGGAGGCCGCCCGAGGGTTGATGACGACGTTGAGGCGGCTCGCGATCCCAGAGACAGACCTGCTCGTCAATCGCGTCGCTGAGGTAGATTATCGGCTGCTCAAGGCATTCCTTCTTAGGCAGAAGAGTTGAGCATCAAAATTGGCGATGACGACACAAGGAATTATCTGTCGAGATTCGCGGGGGTTGGAGAGCACGCTTAGCGTTTGCGCGTAGCCCATGGATGGTCAAAAGGCGACGGACACTTGGTCTGTCTGGCATTTGATGCTTGTTTTACGAAGACTTGGACGAAGAAGATGAACATGACACGATACCTTTTCTTTTACATACCCACGCTGCTTTAGTTGAGCTGTCGGATGTTTAATACGGTTCACTAGCAAAATCGAGGCCTTGCAAAGAGTTGACGTGTACGTGACACATGAACTGTTTGGATCTGGATGGGAATCCGAAAATCGGTGTCCGTGCCAACGGTCAATTTGACGATCAGACTGGTGATGGTAATTCCGCTTGTCCGCTTCCAACGCGTCGACCCGCAGCCGAGAGTCATACAGTCAGGATTTGTCGATGCTTAGACGAGATTACATAGCTAATGAGTCTTGGATGGGCCACTTAGGTTCCACTGAAGCTGGAGCTAGGACGTGTTCAGTTTATCAGATCTGATCTGATACCTGACATCGAAGTACCTAGGGGAAAGATGGGCATGGAACGCGTCGAGTCGTAACGCCGAGGACGGATACAGCTCAAAAAAGCGTGTACAGGGCCGGGAGATGGGGCTTGTAGGCGGGAATGGGATATATGGAACGTGTGTGGCTCGGCCGAAGCTCTCGAGTCTCCGGACAGAGCTTGCTCTGGTTTCCCGGTCATGACATCGTGTTGCCTGGTTGGCGTGCCGGGGGTGGAACGCAAGCGGCCACTTCGGCGTCGTAGCTCGACCCAACTTATAAATGATGAGCATGTTGAAGAGGGAAAAAAGGACCAAAAAAAGAGGGCTGGGCCTGGCATGTTCCGTTTGGGACCACATTCGGTAGACTTTTCTGCGCCAGGTCTTGGACACTTTGCAGGGTCTGCAAGTGGAAAGGTGAAAAGCGAGACAGGATCCTTCCACTTTGGAACGAAACGCGCCGGCGATGCCCCTGGAAGACGCGCTTTTTAGTGGGGTGGAGGGGAATTGACGGCGCGTGAATTCAGCTTTAAGTGCTCTGGGCAATCAGGCCAGCTTCCACAGCCACCTGCGAAAAAGGTACGAAGCTCGAGGTACCCAAGTACTTACTCCGTAGAAAACACGAAAACGCGAGTATCCCTGCCCTGTGCTCAACGCGTCCCACTACCTAGCGCTCGGTGCTGCTTGCCCGCTACATAAACTCTGCCTTTCCAGAGTTCCCCTACCATCAACAGACATCTTCTTCACTCCCAATCACGACATCACCACAACCCAAGACAGATTTACGCCCTCAATTACTTCTTCCAAAGTCTTGTCTTCCCCTTCTTGCATTCAATCGCCCTCATTCTTCTTCTCCCGCCGCATTTCACACACTTCCGCCATGTCTATCGAAGTCACTCCGTCCAAGCAGGTAAGTAAACGTCACCACTCAGTTCAGCCGAGCTTGACTCTGGCCCACGCGCTTTCTGCACTCGCAATCGCTAACAACCATTTCTCCAGGCCGCTGCTGCTCTCGACTCCTTCAAGATGGAGTCTCCTGTCAAGAAGCTCAACTTCAACCCCGCCGACAAGGAGAACCAGCCCCTCACATCCGACGTTACCACCGCAACCGAGAACACCGAAGTTCAGACAAAGCCCACACAAGAAGTTATCAAGAACGAGAACAAGATTGTCATCGCTCCCGGCATCAAGGAGCAGGAGAAGGATGAGCCTCTCCTCCAGGAGAACGGCCAGCGCTTCGTCCTCTTCCCCATCAAGTACCATGAGGTATGTGAACGCGTCGCAAGACGCGTAAAGTGGTTTCCTCGGTGGACCATGACTAACTCTCGACTCCCAGATCTGGCAAATGTACAAGAAGGCCGAGGCTTCCTTCTGGACCGCTGAGGAAATTGATCTCTCCAAGGATCTCCACGACTGGAACAACAAGATCAATGATGATGAGAAGTACTTCATCTCTCACATTCTTGCCTTCTTCGCCGCATCGGACGGCATAGTCAACGAGAACCTCGTTGAGCGTTTCTCCGGCGAGGTCCAGGTCCCCGAGGCTCGTTGCTTCTACGGCTTCCAGATCATGATGGAGAACATCCACTCTGAGACCTACTCCCTCCTCATCGACACCTACATCAAGGAGCCTGCGCAGCGCACGTACCTCTTCAACGCTATTGACACCAGTATGTTAACAAAGCCCGCACCTACATGACCGCATCGCTAACTCGCATCACAGTCCCTGCCATTCGCAAGAAGGCTGACTGGGCCCTGAAGTGGATCAGCGATGAGAACTCCTCCTTCGCTCAGCGTCTGGTTGCTTTCGCCGCTGTCGAGGGTATCTTCTTCAGCGGTGCCTTTGCCTCCATCTTCTGGCTCAAGAAGCGTGGCCTCATGCCCGGTCTGACCTTCTCCAACGAGCTTATCTCCCGTGACGAGGGCCTGCACACCGACTTTGCCTGCCTCTTGTACTCTCACCTCAAGCACCGCCCCAACAAGCAGGTCATTGAGGACATCATTGTCGATGCCGTCAAGATTGAGCAGGAGTTCCTCACTGAGGCTCTGCCCTGCGCTCTTCTCGGCATGAACTCCAACTTGATGAAGCAGTACATTGAGTTCGTGGCTGATCGCCTCCTGGTCGCCCTTGGCAACGACAAGGTGTACAAGTCTTCCAACCCCTTCGACTTCATGGAGAACATCTCCCTTGGTGGCAAGACCAACTTCTTCGAGAAGCGTGTAGCCGATTACCAGAAGGCTGGTGTGCTCAACAGCACCAAGAAGGCACAAGAAGAGACCAAGGTTGAGGGAGAGAATGGCGGAGACTTCGCTTTCGATGAGGACTTCTAAATCATCTTCGAGCGCCTGAAGTTTCTGTTGTTTCCTTTTCCCTCATATACCCTTGTACATTGCACACGCATGGTGTTTGCCAGAGCGTCTTTTCACACGCCACACTCAAACCCCCTCCCCTCACCTGAGCTGAGGTTTTAGAGCTGTTTTCCCTTTTCGTACATACATGGCGTTGGCGGGGATCATTTTAAGGGAGTTGGAGGTTCCCAAGGGTTGGTTGGATGACTGTGGAAAATGGGGCATGAATGTCTTTGATGGATAATGTACCGCAGTGATTCTCTTTTAGTAATCGCATATGACATAACAACGACCAAACGTTCCTCTTTTGTGATGTGTTGCAATGTCCTCCACCGGTGGCTTCTGTTGAGCTTATGTGCTTGCGTTGTTGCCACTTTGTTGAGATTTGCTCCTATAATTCGTCCTAAGTCCTCCTGATGTATGCGAGTAAGCTTCTGCAAGACTCTTTGAGACCCTTTCGACTAGTGATTTTTTTTCTCCATGATGTATGTGCTGACCACACCTCGCCCAACATATCAGCATCAACCTCGTCTTCTACCCACGAGCAGCATCGCATCTCGCACTCCTGGTTGACCACCCCAGCACTGACCCAATCCCGATCCTCATTTCTTGCCCTTCTTCTTCTTCTTTCCACCAGCACCTCCACCTCCAGCAGCAGCCTGGGGTTTCTCCACAGGCGTCGCCGCGCCGCCCGCCGGCGTGTCCTCCCCGCCTGCGTCGGCCATTGGCTCGTCCTTGGGCGCGGTGGCATCCAACGTTGCCGGTTTCGAGGTGGACATTGTGCGGCCCAGGGCGCCGAGGCAGGTGATGAGGCGAGAGACCTCGGCAGCCTTCGTGGTGCGGTATTTGAGGGCGACGCCGCTGACCGGGTCGAAGGTCTTTATGACGAGGGAGCCGCGCGGGGGTTTGGCGTCGGTCATTGTTGCGTCTTCTGCGGGTGCGGCGGCGGCGGCATCCTCCGAGGTCTTGGTCTTTCGGGGTTTGACTGCTTTGATGGAGTACTTTGTTGTGATTCTAGTCTGTTTTGGGGTTGCGCTGGAGGTTAGCTACTACGTTTCCCGTCGTTCAAGGTTGTCGAATGGGTGAGCATGAAGACGGACTTACGGTCGTCGGGCGGGCCTGGAGGAGCAGAGAGGACTGCTCCAGCCATTCCTGGCTGGTCTTGTAGGTCGGCATTGCGATGTGATGGTGGTGACGGGGGTGGGGGAGAGGAGAAAAGGCGACGGCCTTGCGCGGTGGTTCGGTCTGGATGCGCCCTCGTGGGGGGTGTCGTCGATGGATGAGTGGCTAAGCAATGGCGGTTCGAGTCTCTTGAGCAGGTAGGTTCGACGAGTGTTCGCTAGGGTGTCATGCGCGCCGTGGTGGTCGGGGTGACGTTTGGTGTCGTGAAAGTAGCCTGGCTTGGGTGGAGGATGCAATTTTGGTGGGGTTCGGCCATCCCAAGTTGAGGTACCCCGACCTTGCATGCCTGGCGAGGGGCAAGTTTAAGCCGCACACTTGGGACTATTACCCCAAGCTCTAACACTTCACAATCCTAATATGCATATTTCCAAGACAAGTTCAGAACCAGAGACTTCCTAGGGTCCCACACAATCCATTCATGTCGACTTTTTTTCAATGGCTTGGGTATCTCGTATCCTAAACTCCGAAAGTAATTGAACTCCCCAGACCGCCATTTCGCAGCTTCTAAATTTCCTACATTGGTGTTCCAACCCCTTCATGCATGAGGATCGGGTACCCAGAACATCACATCTTGATCTGCCGTCGCAAAAAAGTTGTACCGCGGGTTGAATGCCAACACCGCCGCCTCTCGCTTTTCCTCCAATACCCAGGTAGCATCGTGGGTCTTGTTCTCGTTCTGGGGCGGTGTCAAGATATCCCAGACCAGGACATCCTTTGGACCACCGCTCAGAACGTAACGGCCGTCCACAGAGAAGCAGCAATCACCGCTGCTCTCGATTGTGGGCTGGTCCGTCTTCAGCATACTGCCATTGATAGTGCTTGATGTCTCGCCAGCCGCCAGCCGCCCGGTTCCGCCCTCGGGCTTACGCAGATACGCCTTTAAGCTCCCGTCGAAAGCATCGAGTACGAAGTGACCGGGGCCGCGAGTACCCACGAGTATATGCTTGCCGTCGTTCGAGAATTCCAGCTTTGTCCAACCCCTGACTACGAACTGAGAGTCCACGTGTCTGCCGGCGTCGACAACATCGAAGGTCGCAAATGGCGCCTTGTCGTAGTTGCGGCAGTCATATAGCAAAACACTTCCGCTGTTCGTACACGCGACAGCAAAACTCTGCCCCGACGGATCGTATGCGGTGAGATATGGAGAGTTGAGGTTCAGTTGGCCGCACCATTGCTTCGTCGAAATATTCCAAAGGCGCACGGTATTGTCTTGGCTACAAGAGATGAAGTTATCAGCGCCTGGGTGTATGGCAATATCTGTGACGCTCTTTTCGTGGCCCTCAAAGTATCGGATGAAGGAATTGTCGTGGGTAGCCAGATATCGGATCTGATCTGGTAGGTGTTAGCCAATGTACGTCGGTTTGAGCGTAAGAGCGCCTACCGTTTTGCTTCGTACTTGCGTAGATGATGCTGGAGCTCGTATGTGTGAACTTTGCCAGCTTGACGCCATACTTCTTGCTCAGCAAGTTCTTCTTGTGTATACCCTCCTTGACGCTATAAATCTGAATTGTCTCGTCGCTCTCGGAGGTCATGAGAAGCTCGCCCGGATCATCGAAGTCGAGCGACAGCACGTGTGGTTGCGGACGGCCATCCTTGATGTCTTGCCTCTTGAAAAGCTGAGAACCAGTCAGTTAGAGAGCTCCCAATACGGTTTTTGGGCACTCCTTGCCTTTGTTGGGCGAAATGACGATATGGCTTCGCTCAACGGGGTAGTATTGTTGGTCGCCAGAGACCGCGTGATGTTGAGCGAATTTCCATTGGCTGGGGTCGACTCGCGATGGTCCAAATCCATAGGCGTCGAAGCCATGATGGGCTCTTTCGGGATTCCGAGAGCTTTACTGGCTGACGCCTCAATTGGTGCTGTCGCGAGCCGTGAGCAGACCTTGTTCTCGTCGCAGGAAGAAATTTGAGGTTGTGCGGCGAAGTTCGGCAAGTTCCTTTAAGATGAAAGTGAACAAGTGTGGTCGTCCTCAGGTTGCAGGTATGAATATGTGGACGAGAAATCAGACCGCGTTTTGTCATGCGATGCGACTGAAGGATGCCAAAGAGCTTCCCCAATTCAGTTTCGCGGGGTTGTGGTGATGGGAGAGCTTACCTTACCGCGCCACAAATTTTTGCACCACCCCTGGCGTGTCTGGGAAAGATACTCAGCCACACCTTGCAATTACAGCCTCCCATCGTTGACAAAGCGCGACTTCGCATTGGAAACTGACGTCCCAGCAATGGGCCAGCTAAATTGACGCCCATGTTTTTGGTCAGGGTCTGGGGTACCGAATACCGACTTAGGCCGCTGTGGCCCGCGAACCCTGCCAATTGGGACCTACAGACGCCGGGATCGGCAATGGCTATCCACGGCCATATTGACTTTGAGCAAGAAAAATCCCAATTTCTCTTCCGCGCGCGGAGCTTACTGAGAGACCTGTAGACCTGTAGCCCCGGTAAAAGAGTCAATCCAGTCACGTCAACCCAGTGCCAGCCCGAGGGAACTCAAACCACATCTCAGTCATATCGCCAACTTCCTCTCTCGAGTTGCGCGCATTACGGCGAACGGGTTGTCGACGAGTAGGCTATGTAAGAATCTGCCCAGCAATTTGCATTTGTCGATGTTGACTGGCTATCGACTTGCCACGACGTCAATGTTGCTGACCCGCGCTGTTCCGTCATTCTAGGTACTAGCATTCCGAGATCGCGGTGTCACTCTTTTTCCTCTCTCTCCTTCCAAACGAAACCCGATTATCATAGGATTCGCGACCACAAATCACCAGCATCTTAGACATACCGATACCCATTTCATTCTTATCTCTGCGACAAGACCAATTGACACAATGTCAACAACCCTTGGGCAAGTCATGGCCCGCAGTTCGGCATCCGCAAGACCAGCGAAGCTAACCTTCGCAACAGCGCCTTCATCGCCGGCGGCATTGCCGCCTGCGGCGCTGTAACGGCCACGCATCCCTTCGAGACTGTCAAGATCCGGTGCGTCTGATAGCGACGACGCTCGCTGCTTCCCCGCTCCCTGCCGCCGGCAACGCGCTGACCCCTCCCCCCGACGTGTGCAGAATGCAGTTGCAAGGAGAATTGAAGGACAAGGGACACCAGCCGCATCAGTACAGAGGCCCTCTGCAGGGTGTCTCTGTTATCGTGCGCAATGAGGGCGTGAAAGGAATCTACCGCGGTATCGGCTGCGCATACATCTACCAGGTCCTGCTGAACGGATGTCGTCTTGGATTCTACGAGCCTATGCGCGAAACCCTGTCGACTCTTATCTTCAAGGACGGCAAGACACAAAGCCTCGGCATCAACATGGCTTGCGGTGCTGGATCAGGCATCATGGGTGCCGCCGCCGGCAGCCCTTTCTTCCTTGTGAAGACACGGTTACAGAGCTACTCTCCCTTCATGCCCACCGGCACACAACACAAGTACCGCAATGCCTGGAACGGTATGACCTCAATCTACGGCGCCGAAGGCATTCGGGGACTCTACCGTGGTGTTGGTGCGGCCATGATCAGAACGGGTTTCGGTAGCTCCGTGCAACTTCCTACCTACTTCTTCGCCAAGCGGAGACTGGTCCGCCACTTGGGTATGGAAGAGGGTCTGCCTCTGCACCTTGCTAGCAGTACCGTCAGTGGTTTCGTCGTTTGCTGCGTGATGCATCCTCCTGGTAAGTTTCAGCCTGCGATTTGCGTGAATATCCTCGTGTACTAATCCTCATGGCAGACACCATCATGTCTCGCCTGTACAACCAAAACGGAAACCTGTACAAGGGCGTCTTTGACTGCCTGGCCAAGACTGTCCGCACTGAAGGCTTCTTGGCTATTTACAAGGGTTTCCTGCCTCACTTGGCTAGAATCCTCCCCCACACCATCCTTACCCTGACCCTAGCGGAACAGACAAACAAGCTGATGAGGAAGCTTGAAGACCGCATCCTGCCTTCGGCTACCATCCAAACCCCATGATCAACCACTGATCTTGTACCTATTATATCAGCGTTCCTTGCATATATGGAGTTAAAAACGAGCTGGGTAGACGGGGTGGATATGTCGCGAGCCGGGGATCGGCTTCTGGAGAACATATGGGGGGTTGGCTAGAAATGTGGTCAGGCAGAATAAGGTCACGCCGACAGGCCGGCTGGCGGAGGTGCTTTGAACGCGCATTTTCTTTTCGATCTATCCATATATAGACCGTTCGCATCCATAACATAGTTTCCCTGCGGTGCGCTTCCTGCTGTCGTCAATGTCCTCTCCAATTTCACCCTTCCATCGGGCATCTCCTTGTGCATCTACATCCATGCCGCAGACCGCGCACGCATCGCCATCGCTCTCTCGTGTCAATTTGCCGCTAGTGCGAACGACGTTGGCGACGACGGAGGGATAGCTCTCCTCCACCTCCTCAAAGTACCGCGCCATAACGTCCTCAATGCTGAGCTCCTTGTGCGAGACAATAGCATTACTGCTTGGTCCCGCTCCCTGGGCGAGGTCCTTCAAAGACGGTATCAGGCCCGCATACGTGATAACCTCCCGCCTAAAAACGTCTCGAAGGAGGTAGTATACTAGAAGCATCGTCTTCTCCCTCCCTCGGACAGCCTCCTCGCCGCCCTCCGCGCTCTGCTCCTCCCCAGCACGAGAAAACGTCGTGACGGGAACGGGACCGTCGGCGACCTGCCACGGCACGGCGAACCCGCGGCCCTTGGCCGTCTCGGCGAGTGTGAGCTCGGCCAGGGCGGTTGTGGTGCACCCCAGTAGCAGCGCGTGGCACTGCCTCTCCACGGCCAGCGACAGCAGCAGATTCCGCACCAGGAGCCTCAAGATATCCACCCGCGACGTGACGGATGGCAGAGCCTCGAGGAGGCCGCTGAGCTGCTGCGCGGGCGCGAGGCCGGGCTGCAGGGCGGGAAGGACGGACCAGTCTATCGTGTCCAGCTTGAGGGCTTCGCTCAGCGGGACGATCTGCATCGAGAGATTGGGGAACTGCTCTTTGTAGTTTTCAAAGAGCAGGCTTGCCGACGATGAGGTCGCGGCGTCTGCGGCGTTTGACAGGTCGGTGTCAATGTGGACGACGTGCACCTCGTACGCGACGCGCAGGTTTTTCTCCTTAAGACCCTGGAGGTTCTTGTCGAGCACCTGGACCAAGGAGGCCGACGAAGGGCCGAGGGAGAGGCCGAGGAGGTACTTTGCTCTTGCGTCGGGGGCGGTGCCGAGCTTGTCCTTGACATCGCGGTATGGCTGAGCGAGGCGCTTCACGACTCTTTGGACAATGTGCTGCTCATAGCAAGTCCTGCGTGTGCTTTGGTTAACTCTCTGTAGAAACTTGGACATGGAGCATATGCAAGTTAGATGACGCTTACTCGCAAAGAGGATCCTTTCTCACTTTCAAGACGGTCGGCGTCTTGCATCGCCGGCATGGGCGAGGATCCATGTTGCTGCTTATGATGGCGGGTCGGGCCGCAATGAGTGACGTCGGACTACTAGAGATGGGCTCAGATGGGGTTATTCGGTTTGAAAGTAGTCGAGTCAAGCTGTTCTCGAGTATAAGTATTGTATCCTGTGCTTTGACCTGGCCAATGTGCAAGAGGTTTGGTGCAGGAGTTAGTTGTCGATGAGAAAAGTGAGAGTAAGGTTCCGCCACCACAGTTGACTCAGACTCAGTCTTTCTTTGGTGTGTGTGGTTTGAAATTTTTTGGCCCGATCTCGTCTTTCTCCATTGCCCCCCCGCGACGATTACCCGACGTCTATTGAAGTTAACACACGAAACAAGTATCCTAAAACCTCAGAAAATAGACAATTTGTAATAATCAATCTTGAGTTATTTTCAGGGTCATCATCCTCCGGGCAACTAGCATCACCTTCTAATTTTTATGCGCAACCTTCCTCTCACAGGAAAACTAAGTTCTAGCATCCGTATTGAAAAAAGAAACCAGTGCTTTATATAGCCACCGGATGTTGTATTTAATGTCTCATTGACCGTATCATGAAGCTGGCGTCGACTAATATGAAATTTGATCATATGGAACTAAGTAACTTATCCCATCCTAAAGAGCGTCCAGATGAACTCAATTCGAGCTCATGAAAAGATGCAGCCTAGGGGATGCTTCTCAAAGAATCCACGGTCCTTCGCCCAAGCATTCTTCAGAATTTCCCTTCCCTCAGATGCCACTGCCTTCGCTTGGTCTTGCGTGCCCCAGCCCTGCACTGTTGTGCCAAACCCGATGAGATGGACGGCAACATGAAGTAATGTTCGGAAGGCAAAGTCGGCATCCATTACACCGTAGCCGCTGACGAAACCTTGGATAAACCAGATTCCGGCTTCCATGTCTTTGTATAGCTTCAGTTCGTATAGTTCCGCAATCATCTGGCCTAGATCAAGAGGTTTGACTGCAAGCTGGCACATCTCCCAATCGACAACAAGAAGGCGGTTATGCTCATCATCCCAAGGTTTCCCCTCTAGAAGAATGCTAATGAATTGTGAGTAGTATGATCGGAATGGAAGTGTTTGGAACAGCTTACTTTCCGGTCCAGAAGTCGCCGTGTATGACCTGCAGGGCTTTCTCGTCTACCATCTCCCTCTTCACGCTGTCCACGATGTCTGCAAAGATATCATTACAATCACCCAGAATATCCGGATATCGTGTGATGGAATTGGGGAGTCGTTCATAATTCATCCATTGCTTCAGTGTTTGCATTTCCTTGTTTCCTGCTGCAATATCGCGAAACTTGAGCTGCTCTTTTGAGTTACTCCAGTCATGGAATGACCGAAGCCACATACCCACCGCCTTTCCAATGTCGAGGCACTGCGACTTGACTGGCTCTAGAGTTGATATTCCCAGACTAGAGGCTGCGAGATACTGGCTTGCATAGTTCTTGAGGCTCAGGGGGCTTGGCTGGTATGCTTGAACCTGGGTATTGGTCTCCTCATTGAAGTAGAACAGCTTCGGTGTTGCCACGCTGATCTTTCCTCCGGTATATGGTGGAAGTGCTGAGATATCTTTCAAGCAGCTTTCTTCGATCCGCTGCATGAGGTCAGCCATTGATTTTCTACTGGTCGAAGATATAGGGACTCACGCATCTTGACGTGGGGAGATTGAAATCGGGACTCTGAGCGACGAAGCCCTCGCCATGCTTGACAGCTACCTCGACGGTCCCATCGATCAGCGGCTCTAGCAGCTTCACATGAAAGATGAAGTTGGTTGTTCCTCCACTGAGGAGGCGTGCAGACTTGAAGGAGTATGGCGTGCCGGCCAACTCCGCCTTGACCTCACGAAGCACACGATCCGATGTGCTTTCGTCTGCCATCGCGATTATGAGACTTGCGAACGAAGCTCAAGAAGACCAGTTTTGTCACCTGTCCGAGGAAGCGGGGATAGCTTGCGATGTCTGTATCGGTTTGGAGAGTGAGGCGTATGAAGTTCGTGTCACATACGAAGCAATTCACGAAATCACTGGAACACTTTCGAGCAATGAACGAAGGAAACGACGGATTTTATCCGAACGTCGCCGGGAACGCTCTTTACATTTGTTATCTTCCAGCAAATTGATCGGGGTGTCGCTTCCCCAGAACAGGTTGAATGACAGGGCAACAGCAATCTGCAGCTAAAAGGCAGATGAGTCATTCGGCGAGAAGTTTCAATCTCTTTCATCGCATCGCGAAACCCGTAGTCCTTGAAATGTATCGTCAAATAAAAGACCAATCCAAGGCACCCACTTGCTGGACTGCTGTGCTGGCCGTCACGAGGAATCATTTGCCTAGAGTATCGCAAAGCATTGTAGTATATGTCCAGTACCAGCATTATGCCTCTGCCGCATTGAATGGCTAGGTACAACGAAATCCAAGTTGTTGTATCGAAGCAACCACTAAGCGACAAGCGCGGAGAAAGCAATCCAATCATAGAATTATCCAAGTCAGCTTGGCTTGCTCGCTCACCGAGATAACTATCCCAGCGTCAATGAGAATTCGGTTTCTTCGTTCTCTAACGGGCACACGAATTTGGGCCTTCGCGTTAGACAAGCTCTTATCCGAGCGAGCATTATAGAGAAAGTACTAAGTCTCGCAATACAGAGGTCGAGGCCGACGTTCTCGATAATTTGTATACATTACAGGACTTTGCTCTACCAGGGCGCCGCGCATAGCTGAACACAAGCTGTTCTGCGAGGCGTGTGATATGATGCACCACTTACACTCACTGATAGGCCCGATGAAAGACGAAGTCGACTAGGTCAAACAACGCCATCCACTACCAACGACCTCGGCATGCTTACGACCAAGGCTGATCATGTAAGCTCTAGAGGATCCTCAACGACTACAAAATTCTATGCCTTTTTGGATGTAAACAGAGGCCACGGCGTTGCTGATCACTGTGCTACGTCCGAGAGGTAGTCGAAGCCAACCCTTCTTCACGTTAAACATGACTTCTATGCAATCTAGAGGCAGAAGGAGGAGATTGAGGGTGGGCAGCGGGAGGAAGTGGAATAGCAGTAGTTGCCCTTGGCAGTGTCAGTAGATCAAACGACACATGCAACTCCAAACCCCAGTCTCCTGTCAATCGGTCCTTATCCTACGCAGGTCAAAGTCAAAGTCTCACCAGAGCCCATTGGTGGTTTTTGACTTGGCTTGAGACGGTTTGGAATACTACACCTAGTCTCTGTCGGGACAAACGGATGACCCACTGGAAATTGGGTGGTAGGATAGTTTCAATTCGAGTTCAGCCACAACAGCATAAGAGAGGATAAGCGGCCAACCACCGGGCCGCACCGGGCTTGTACACTAACATATGCCAGATCCTGATCTGACTGGGGGCTGAGCGCCACGGAAGAACGGTTCGACGAGCCGTGGGCGAGGATGCTTATCTGAGCACTTCACCGCTCTTCCCGACGGATCGATTCTGTGGGCGGCTCTGGAGAGGAATCAATGTGGCGGAGGTATGCTCCGGAACAAGTTCGACTTGGAAAGAACAACCGCGAATAGCTCTGACAGCTCTTTACCGAGCGGATGGGACGTGGGATGGCGGGATATCAGGGTGATCCGTCTCGGAGCCGCGCTCACACAGCGTGAAGTCTTGGCAGGGGACCGGGACTGCTTTGCGCGGGTTGAGAGAGCGGCAACTATTGAAGCTGGAACATGACGTTGATGCGTAGTGGATATGAGCGTATCTGTAGCTTGCTCGGATGAACTGAAAAGTGACGGACCGCATGTTGTGCATGGGCAATGGGCTTGTGAATAGAAGAGAGATAGAATGCAGTTAGACCACGGACATATGACGCCTAAGCGCGCTCGGTCGACGAGGTTGAGGCCAAGTCTGGGCGCCTAAGAAATAACGCGCTTCGAATTTTGTTAGATTTGGAGAAAGTATTGGGCATAGTGTCATTTCTATTCTCCTATTCATATCCAGCTAAGAAAGTCGAGGGAAGTTCTTGCTTGCGTCCGGCAAGCGCCCTGCATGTAGAACTGATTTGCTTGTGATATACGTAGTACAAAGTACAAGTAGCAGCGTCAGAAAAAAGTCCAAAAGCAAAAATCAGGAACGGATAGAAATGGAGACTTAGGCAACATGTTCGGACCGTCAGAAACCAAGGTGGTGGGGAAAGCAAAACGCAACAGTCGGGACTTTGGTCTTGCATCACACATGGCACGAGGGAGTCAGGGAGTCAGGCATTGAGATGGGACGAGATTCTTCTATTTGGAACAGGAAGAAGACCCACATGGGAAACAGTGAATGGCCAATGCAGCCGAGCGATCCAGAATGTCCAGGTAGGGCCGCAGAAGCGTTTGTAGTGAGACGGCGGTCGCGACCTACCCCCTTTTCTACTACCTACGGTCCACGGAGTACCTTATTATCCAATGATTCGTAGGCATCGTTCCTGACTTTTTCATCGTCAGCTCCGTAGTTCACTGCTGTCTGGCAAATGGCTGGCAGGCGGGGACTGAGAGACTTGGAGTTGCATCCCAACCACTCGATCAAACAGCTTCGGGGGTGAAACGGGGCGGTGCTGGTCGCTCAGTGCTTCACCCACTTCTTGGCCCGCCACTACCTTAGGTTAGGTGCTTACTGTGTAGTAGCCAACGTTGAGGTGATCATAAAATTCGTACTTTCTACTTGAAGACTCCTGAGGCCCTGCAGTCTCTGCACCAATGAGCCTGGTACAGTACACCTCACTCTTCTGCAGCCCAAACAGGGTGAGATGCCGTATATTCTGGATACCTCTACCTAGACTTTTAGCCGACAAGCAGAAGAAGGCTTACAGATAGGATCAAGAGGCGGGAGTCAGGCACATGCATGTACCTTGTGCAAGTATTCCACACTTTCCACGCAGCAAGCAAGCACTGCAGCAGGCACGCTCAAGCGCTCAGATGCGCCAATGACCACTTCCGTTGAATCCCCTCGATTCCCGACCACCTCTTCCCTGTCTCCCAAGCCTGTCACCTCCAAAAACGCTGCTCTTGTTTCTTTGAATTCAGACACCGTCAACCACTCATATGGGAGCCGGTGAGCTGATTTGGAGTCCTCTCCGCAGAACCCCTCCCCAGGCCCCATGAGGCACTTTAGGAGATGTGGCCCAGAGCAATGCACGTCTGTAAGTCGCTGCGCTTCTTTCTGTTCTAACTTCTGCCCGTGCCGTGGGGTCTTGATCAATTGTTCCTGTTTTGATGATCCCACTCGGGTGTACCTGAATTGAGCATTGATTACCTTAGGTTGTTGTGAATGATAATCAAACCGGCAAGAGAACGGAGTAATCATAACACAAGATACTTTGTACCAATCTACGCAGTACACTCAAAGCACCCGATTCTGCCCCCTGGGACCCGAGGTACCTCCCTGAAGGCTCAATATCATCTCATCAACAATGCCAACCTGGTACCAATGGTCCAATGCCACTGCAATGCATTAAAGAGAAAGGGACCCCACAAACTAATTTTGTCCTCTCTGCGCCCATTCGTCCACCTTCAGATGGCGCCTCTGATCTCTCCCTCTCAAGCTTGATGCAATGCGCCCAGCGACCCAGGTCTGCCAGGAACCTTTGGTGCCGACTGGGGCAATTGGATTCGAACCTGCCGTGAGGCGTGCCTGCTTCTTCTTTGCCTGCGACATCGCTGTGCCGATCAGCGCCCCTCCCCTCAAAGCTTAACTCTGACGGGCACCACTGCAATTATAATCACCACCAAGCTTGGCTTGGGGCCGAGACTTTTAATTCCAGACTTTTTTTCGACTCGTCCAATGTGTCCATACCTAGCTGTCCCTTCACTCGTCACCGCCATTGGAGCTCTTTCGGCATCGTCATTGTCAACTCACTCCCGTATAGCCCGCACCGCCCGCTTCCTCCTCCCGTTCGCTCCTCTTCTCCCCTTCCACTCTCTCGTTTTGAATCGTACCGTAGCTTCAGGTTCTTTCCCCACGTCTTGGCTCTTTATTCCATCGTACACATCTCGCCCCCTGCAAGTAAATAATCGGCACTTGATCTGTCGTCAATTCCACCACACTGCATCAGGCCCGCGGCTTGACTCCGTCACTCATTTGAGGTATTTGACACGGCGCTACGGATACATAGGTACTACATGACCTTATTGCGAAGCCCACCGACCCTCACCGCATCTTGACATTCCATTTATTTATTAAACACCATACCGCTCTGCCCGACCCCCCCCCCCCCCCCATCCGTTACACAGCGCTCTTCATCCCCTTGCTGCCATCACTTGTCCCTCAAACTCGAGATTCGTCTCCTTTCCTTGGCATCCCAAGTTTCACCACTCAAATACCTGACCTCTCAACCCCCCGGCACAAGACATTTACACACGACACGCCCGTGCGAAAGGAGTCAACGCTGAAGCTCCTCCTTCTCCTTCTTTGCTGCCCCCCTTTCCACAGCAACACTGCGCGCGCGACCCGTCTCGTCCCGCCTTGCACACTCGTTTCCTCCCGTTTACCTTTTTGTCCAAACACATTTTCTGGTCCTTCTCTCGTTTTCGCAAGGGCAGCAATCAGCATAAACAAGGCCCCAGTTGGTCCCAGCAAAACTACAACGGCAATCGAGCAAGGGCACGATAATAGAGCCACCACCGACGCGCGACTCCCACTCGGTATATCCACTTCCAGCCACCTCGACTTCTTTCTGCCTCGTCCAACACCCGACTTGACCTTGCAGAAATCCTTTGGCTACCTTACCTACGGATACCTGGACTAATACCCGGAGATCCAACGCTGCCGGCACTGCCTAGTCGCATCGCTTGCTCACCCACCGCCGCCATTTTCTACAAGTCTCTCGTTCTTCGGCAACTCTGCGTCTTTGCCCGTTCCGCCCAC